TACCTCCATGAAATATGAGTTTTTGTAAATGTTTTTTATTTGTCTCATTGACTATTGTAATAAGGTCGTAATTACCGTAATCTAGTTTAATCCATGGTTTTCTAAATTCAAATTAATATCTTAAAATGTAAAATTCACATGTGGAAATGTATGGTTTTATAAACAAGGAAAACGCGAGGAGCACTGACTACAAATAATCTGATATTTTCTCGCAAACAGGGTTGGACCCTCTGGCCAGTCGCACGCGGTGCATGCCGGGACTTCCTACCCCACCGATCTCCGGATTTTATGCCGGAGGTGTCTGGAACTCACTAGTCTGTCATAACAGACACTTCTCCAACCAATCAGAATGGAGGACATGTCTGAGGGGGAAGACCCTGCATTTCATGGGAGACTCCACCATACGACAGTGGTACGAACGCTTGGTTAAGCTACTAAGGCTCACCAACATTCCACTTCCGGACGCCATCCACCAGACTGGATCTCTGCTTGCCCGTGACACAATAAACAACACAACGGCAAAATATCGTTCCCATGGACCGCCTCTTCGTTGCGCATGGACCCGGACATTCCACCTACAGTATGTTGCAAACGTCATAGATGAAATCGAAGGAGGACCAAACGACGTGGTCGGCATCACTCTTTGGGCCCACTTCACCACGTACCCTGTGGACATGTACAGAGAGAGGATGGAGGCCATCCGAGCTGCGATTCAACGGCTTCATCAGAGGAGTCCTGATACCCTCGTGGTCATCAAGTCTGCCAACACACGGACGGGGAACGAGCTAGTCGCCGGAGACTGGCTGGCGCTCCAGCTGGACTTGGCGATGAGAGAAATGTTTGAGGGGATGAACGTTGTTCTAGTAGATGCCTGGGAAATGACAACAGCACAACAATGGCACAAAGACGCGATTCACCCCGCTAGAGATATTGTTAAACAAGAACTAGAATATTTGTGCTCTTTTATCTGCCCCTCATAACTCTTGTCGTGAGGGTAGGAGGATCTGTGATCCGCTCAGTATCAGAGCCAGAGCATTGCCGATATTTGGATAGTCATGATCAGTGGTTGCTATAAACATCAATGCTGCTACAAACTAGCTAAGCAATATCGTCAAAAAAGATTTAGAAACAATAATATGCTTAGATGTCCCTTTTCTCAGGGCACTGTCGATACACGACTAATATTGCTAATAGCCTTGGGCTATATGCATGTATTTCTGCACATGAGACTTTTGCTCCATCTCTGCACATGATTTTGTGAACCAGGCGATCGAGGTACATTTTATTCAGGCTGGACATTGATCAATAATCACTGACAACCTTACAGGTGTCTGAGGTCTTCACAGCTTCTTGTTTCTCACTGTAAAATACCGTTGAATCCATGTTTGGGTGGTATTTCAAGCAAGAAATCAAACCCCATGATAGTAACCGTAAATATAGTCGCACAAGTTGATTATAGACAGTAGTTGTATGTTTTCTGTTGCTTAAGTTTACATCAGTTTCTGTAGCCTTCGAGCATGATTTTTCAAATAATAAAGAATCAATCGATTAACCTTTGTGTCTATGGTAAAAAGACCAGACTTGATAGACCTTGCTGTGTAAAACTGGGTCGCTGGGCGGCGCTGTTCTAGTAGTTGAAACATTTACGACACCCGATGATTGCCTAATCTCCAAGCAGATCCCTATCGGTGGCAAAAAGACAGTATCAAATTGGCCAGGCAGTACTAGTATCCATTAGCCAGAGAAGGTCCGGGGATGGTGGGATTAGCAAAAAAAAAAAAAACGGCCATATATAAAAAGCTAACGATCATTCCCCCACAACCTCTGCTTGGAGAGTAATGATTACCAACAATGCATTGAAAAGATGCAACCAGTTGTGGAAAAAGTTGCACCTTGAAGAGGATTGCCTCACAACATGACTGAGACATAAATGGTTTCCAAGTCGAGATGTTTCAATGTCAAATGCTGTCAGTTTTGTGGGGAATGCATGATTTCTGATCTCGAAAATGACTTGGTCGCCATGAACACTTATCGGGCCTTGAGCGGACCCAGCTCACGGCGGTCGCGGTCGTGATGGCCAGGTGGTCGGACAGGCTGCTTAATGCTTGCATCATTGGGGAAACGTTTTGGAATCGAGAAAAGGCGGTGGCCATGTGGCCAGCTTAAAGAGGTGGTCACCTTGGCAGGTTTGACTGTACTGTTAAAGAGTGACCATAGTAGTTTGCCCTGACGACATACATGTTTCACATTAACAGGATCTAATCCGGCCAGATCTCGATTTACATTTCAAGTTTAATATGAGAGTATCTGACTTACAGTGCTGATAGAAAGGAGTCACATCACCTATCTGCAAGTCGCTGATCCATCCCATACTTCTCAACCGTTTTTTTTTTATTTGATTTGATTTGATTTATTGAAATTGCAACAGTGCAATACACGCGGAACAGAGGCAGCTGTTGCTGGTGTTGTGTCCCGCACATAGAAACAAATACAGGACAGACAATACTCATTTTCACTTGAGTCTAGTGGGGAAAGTCGTGTAAAGTGCCTTTCCCAAGGGCACAAGATCGGTGGCATGTCAGGACTCGAACCCGGGACCTCTTGATTCCGAGTCGCGCACGCTGCCGTTGCGCCACACGACCCCACCGTGGCGTTTTCATGTGCTTACTACAAAAGGCTGTTTGCACAATCCAACCCCCAATGTGTTCCAACCTGCAAGCCTCCTTAGCAGTCCCTACACGTTGTGCTTATTTTAGACTTTGATGGTAAAAAGTTCTGGCTGTACCGGGTACCTTTAAATGGGGGTTACAAGGAACCAAGTAGTGTCAAAAAAGCACATGATATACGCGGAGAGTTCCTCTGACATTTATTACGATCCCAAGATGCTTTGTGCATTACATCCAACATTCTGACCTTCCAGTATAACGAGGCGAGCACACAAAAACAAACATGTTTCGGAGGCCACGGCCATAACGGTCGTTGTCATTTTGCAATGAACGAAATATCGAGTGGTTGTAGATTGTAGCGATAGTTTACTGCAAACACATGCCCAAGGGCTAATTACAGGTACAAAGAACATGTAAGAAAAATGATAAAATGATATAAGAGAATATGTCTAATATTATATACTATGTACGTGGTATTATGTATCTTTCTCTTACACTTTAGGTAATGTTTTACACCCATTCAACGGGTACAAATTGCAACTCGTCATATGCGGAATCTCAGAGAATAGCGCGTTCTGTGTGTCAGTTGCATGTTAGTTTTGTGAAAGTTACACCTGTCACGCAGTTGGGTGGTAGAGAGACGGGTCCTAGGCCAGGATCTGACCCGTCTTGGCAAGTCTTTCCGAACAGAGTATCCAAGACCGTAGTGTCCCAGTTCAATAGACAACAGACTCTAAAAGGATAAGGGTCGTACCATTTCCAACAATCTATATGTTGACATGTAAAGGTTAACGGTGTACTATGACTGTACTGTTTGTACATTCCGTTCTGTTGTGTCTAGAGCCAGTGAACGTGTTACTTGATGTCTCCGTGAAACAGTAGTCTGTGTTCCCACCTGTAACCTCCTTAGTGGTCTCTAGGCTTCATGCTTATTTTGGGTTTTAATATAATCTTTTTTTTCTGGTTGTTTATCAGTTCTGGCTATACCAGGTACCCATAAAGGAGGGTTACAAAAAACCAAGTACAGTCAGAACTTACAGATAAATACCAAGAAATGGCACGCAGTTCCTCTGACAACTTCTCTCAATCACAAGAAACCTTTAAGGGAATTGTTACCACCGATGTTTGGTGTCAGGTGAGACTTCCCCTGCACATTGACACAGCACCATTAGTAGCCTTGGAGACTGTAGCTATAACTTTTAAGGTCAGATTAGGGTCATTGCTACCTGATACCGAGACTTGAGTTCCGAAATGAGACTTATTCACTGCAGTAAATAAGTTCCGAGTCCATCGAGAACGTGATAAGTTTCCTATCACGCATATTATGTGGTTCTCTTACAGACGCATGCTTTCTGTACGTAAAGGTACCCTTAAAACACTTATCGATATTAAAGAGTGAGCAGCTTGGCTGAAAACATGATCCGCGGGACAGCACTCATCTAGATCTATTGAACTACCAGTTCCTAGATTAAACCGCAATTTCAAATGAATTTTATAGGTAAAGAACAATTTTTTAATGTTTTTGTGTTTCCTGTTTTCATATATAGGTTCTTCGGAAACGAAGCCAAGTCGACGATCTAGTGTCATATTTCAATCATGATACTAAATATCAAGGGTTACACATTTCCCACCCTAATGAAAAGGTGCACGCAACTGACAAGTCTGACACTTGTCAGTTGCGTGCAAGTGGTAGAGCAGCGAAGCCCGGTGTCACAGCGATCTCGTCCCCCCGTGATTTCGCCCTCCCCGGGGCGAATTTCTAGCGATTTTGTCCTCCGCGCTAGTGATTTGCCCCCCCCCCCTTCGCCCCCCCCCTTAGTGATTTCGCCAAACAAAAAATCAGTTATTTCCTCGAAAACTTCCATTTAAGCATGTCCAAGTACACAAATTTGTTGAGTACAGGGGTCGTATGGCGTAACGGTACAGTGCTCGACTCGGAACCAAGAGGTTCTGACATGCCATCGATTTTATGCCCTTGAGGAAGGCACTTTACACGACTTCGCTCAGCATCAGGTGAAAATGAGTATTGTATTGTCCCCTGTGTTGGTGGCGGCATTAATATAAAACTTGAGTGTGCCGTACGCGTCACCATGTCTTGTGATTACATGTTACAATATTACAAAAAATTCTATTTATAGTATTTCGTTGTATTCGGGGAATTATGTTGCATGTTATCACTCTCAAAAGTACTCTACCAATGATCGGCTGAAATCCTGTGTTGTTGAGATGCCTTTGCTGTTGACCGTAGCAACAGGGAATACTTCAACCAAAGAGGATGCTTTTTTGCTTCAACCGAGCGAACCCTTCATAATCGTTAGAATTGAAAAAAATGTGTACCTGCGGTACGGTTTAAAAGAGTTGTTTAACTAATTGGCGGGAGAGGGGGAGGGGAGATCTACGGAGGCGGGGCGAAATCGCTAGCGATCTTATCCCCCAGGGAGGGCGAAATCGCCGGGGGGAGCGATCGCATGTGACACCGGCATTCCATGGTCCGATCCCGCGCTGGCTAGCTTGTCCACCCTCAAGTCTTTTCGAACAGCCCACGGTAGAGACAAGACACCCTATAAAGGATAAAGGGCTTCTTGTGGAAGGAATTCGAACCGACAAAGTCAAGTTCAGCGAGAAACGTCCATTCATACTCGTGCAAGCTCTTAACAAGCTTTGTTGTTCCTGCCTGCTGACATAAACGTGAGTTCAAACATTGAATTCTCTCAGTACGATAGTACTTTCTTACTAATGTAACATCGATCCAAATAACAGAATTTTGTTCGTGCTTTTAGTTCTTAAAAGGAATATTCAGCGTTGTATTTGTGGCCTCTGTTTGGCTGTAGTGAAGCGCTAAAAGTATGACTCAAGAAGAATGGAATGAGAGGTGAGACAGCAGTATGTACAATGACTAGGTATAGATTAAGGATTCTTAACCCATGTACACTGCATAGTAGACCAGGAAGCGGTCTTTTGAGGCCGGTTGAAGTATTTAGTAATACTGAACATAACATGTTCGCTATGGTTTTATTTTCGCGGTGGATTTATTTACTCTCCACTGCAAAATTATGACACCACGTGTGAACTCCCTCCTTTAGTCCTTAGCCTTAGTTACAGGCAATACACACCAGGTATGAATGTCTGTTTATGTTCGAATTCTTTCATCACACACCAGGCCCAAGTTGGTGTCACGCTTTACTAATTGTGTACCTCTACCAGCCCTAATCCTACGAGGGTACGAATTCGGCAAAAAGAGGCATGTTGTATTATTAGTACAGACAATATCCTAAACTATAGCTTTTATCACCCCTTCGTTTTTGTCTTTTAAAGCTTCATCAATAGGAAGGCTTTTTCTAGCCTAGACTGGTAGTCTCCATACAAAAAAAATTACAGATTTTGAACTGTAAACAAAATTTTCCGAGTACTAAGCGCTTGTACAAACTCTAAAGAACATTTAAGTTATCTCTTGTTATCGTTTTCCGCTTCTATGTTTAGTACTTAAATATATCAGATCACGTGAACGTACAGAGGTGAGAGTTGTATTATGAACACAGTATTGTAGTGCGGTCAAAGAGACTTAAACGTCGGGACCGTGAATGATATCGCAGCCCAAACAACTGAAGAAAATTACTAAAGAAGCACAATTGTAAGTAGTTTGGTTTTGTTTGTTTGAACCATTCATTGGCGTTGTGACTGAAGGGTGGATAGTCCCAGTAGGAACGGTCTCCCCTCCCTCTCTCCTCCCACCTGTCTACTTCTGGTACAGTGTAGGATTTATATTGTGAAAAATATGAAGATAGCACAAATGGTCCTTATTATTACTGTACCTTTCTCTTCAAAGGGCAAGAATGGCGGGTCGACATACGGAAAGGGCAGTGACCGCATCAAAACGCTGCTTCTTTGGTATCGTCATGGTGCTTGTTGTTGGGAGCTTGCTTCTCTTCGGTGTTCAGGTACACTACGTAATGTACTACACTACACATAGTTAATGTAATACAAGGCATATATGTGTACGTTCCTCTCTTCCTAATCTCAGCAACAAATTTCATTAAAAGTTAGTACAGGGTGTGCTGTACCCAGAATCGTACTTTGTCCAGATCCGTACATGGGGCAGATCTACGTACTTGGATAAGTAGAGTCTATTGGATTGTATGTCATAATGATAGAATTCCATGCAGTTATGTATGTGCAAGGACATTATACACGTATGTGGGGTAACTCCTGCGGTGTTGACACTCAAATCAGTCAAAACGAAAACGTACATAACACATTGTTATTAGTGATATACACGACAATCTAGCTCCGCCACTAGACATAACATACAGAGAACAGACATCAGTATTACTTGAACGAATCATGCACAACATCTTCACTTTTCTACAGGAAAGTTCATGGAAACCTACACCAAACCGTCCTGCCATACACTCCGGGAAAGCTATACCGACTTCTCCACCCATACAATCTAAGACCACCCCTCCACCCATACAATCTAAGACCACCCCTCCACCCATACAATCTAAGACCACCCCTCCTTCCGTACAATCTAAGGCCACCCCTCCATCCGTACAATCTAAGACCACCCCTCCACCCGTACAATCTAAGACCACCCCTCCACCCGTACAATCTAAGACCACTCCTCCACCCGTACAATCTAAGACCACCCTCACCCGTTAAATCGTATTTAGATACGTACTTCAAACAACTGAAGTTTTCCTTACAGTCTCACTCCAGTGAAAACTTAACGGTAGGGGACACGTTACGCGTTGTTATCTTGGCTCAGGACAAGCAAGGGAACATGACAACTAACATAGGTGATTATTTCCGGGCGTCCATTTTGAATCTAAAAACCAAGTCCGGTGCAGTTGGAATTGTTGAAGACCACCGGAATGGTACGTACACGGCAATCTTCCGACTGTTGTGGGCGGGAGAGGTGAACATCAATGTCCAACTTGTGCTCCCACGTCAGGCTATAGATGTCATAGAAAGAACTGTTAGGGAACATCCTATCGACAAGATTATGTTTGTGAAACGCTACATCGTCGGTAAGGCTAAAATCGACACCAGGTGTAACGTAGACCCGGCCGTGTTTAACACCACCGCCCCGGTGTGTAACTACTCCGACCCGCACGCAGGAGCCAGGTGGTACTGTGAGAAAGCCGACAACATCTCCTGTAACACATCCGGGTACCACGCCAAGCATTCAACCACTAGTTCTGTCAAGCTGCTGAAGGATGGAGAGGAAAAACTGTTTGGCAGGTATATACTGTAAATCATTTTATATTCGCGATATCAAAAGTTCACGGTCTGAGAAAGATGGACATATTCGAACTACATGTATATGTTTCGCGGTGGCGGCAGGTGCAGAAGAAAGAAAGTTGGCGAATTATTTGTTCGCGCGCTATGATAAATAAGCGGTACAGAAGTGATCACGAAAAATATAAAAAATATAAGATGTTTTTGAAATTCAGAGGTCCAAAAGTGTTTGCAGTTGCGATCTTCCAACATGTCAGAACATTATCATTAGTGTCTTAAGTACGTTTTTCCTTTTTTTCCAGAGGGCTGAATGGAGTAAAGAAATCCATATCTGGGTCCCCATCTAAGATCAATGTCATCAGCGGTAAGACCCAAAATCTAATTTTTTTTCAAATCTTATTCTTTTGTTGAAGGTAAACTATGTGGGTTACAAATGAGAGAATGTGTTGTAACTAAAACTGCAAAGGTGTTAGTTAAACATGGGTGCATGAAGCGCATTATCACACATTTTCTCGCAAACAGGCTTGGACCCTTTGGTCAACCGCACGCGGTGCATGCCGGGACTTCCCACCCCACAGATCTCCGGATTTTATGCCGGAGGCGTCTGGAACTCACTAGTCTGTCATAACAGACACTTCTCCAACCAATCAGAATGGAGGAAATGTCTGAAGGGGAAGACCCTTCATTTCATGGGAGACTCCACCATACGACAGTGGTACGAACATTTCGTTAAGATACTAAACCTTACGGACAGTCCACTTCCGGACGCCATCCACCAGACTGGACCTCTGCTTGCCCGTGACACAGTAAACAACATAACGGTAAAAGATCGTTCCCACGGACCGCCTCTCCGTTGCGGATGGACCCGGACATTCCACCTACAGTACGTCGCCAACGTCATAGATGAAATCGAAGGAGGGCCAAACGACGTGGTCGGCATCACTCTCTGGGCCCACTTCACCACGTACCCTGTGGGCATGTACAGAGAGAGGATGGAGGCCATCCGAGCTGCGATTCAACGGCTGCATCAGAGGAGTCCCCAGACCCTCGTGGTCATCAAGTCCGCCAACACACGGACAGGGAACGAGCTAGTCGCCGGAGACTGGCTGGCGCTCCAGATGGACTTGGTGATGAGAGAGATGTTTGAGGGGATGAAAGTTGTTCTGGTAGATGCCTGGGAAATGACAACAGCACAACAATGGCACAAAGACGTCATTCACCCCGCCAGTGACATTATCATACAAGAACTAGAATATTTGTGTTCTTTTATTTGCCCCTCCTAACTGTTCCTAACAGAATCAGAGCCAGAGCATTGCTGATTATTTGATAGTCATGATCACGCAGGGGTTATGCTACCATAAACCAGATAAGCAATTGTTATCGTCAAAAATCTAGGAACAATAATCAACTCAAGTGTCCTTCTTGTTCAAGAATGCCATGACTAATGCTGCTAATGTTTAAGTTCTTGCAAAGACCGTGGGCTATTTCTGGACATTAGGCTTTGACTTCTGCACATTATTCTATAAGTTACATTTTATAAGTTACTGTACTTTATTCAGGCTGGTCAATGGCCCCATGACAGTAAACGTAGTAGCCGTACAAATAGACAGCAGTTGTGTGTTTTCTATTTCTTAACTTTACTTCTGTGATGCTGTAGCCCCGGGCATAATTTTTCAGATAATAAAGAATCAATCCATGACCCTTTGTGTCTATGGTAAATAATGGACCATGCTTGGTAGACCTTGCTGTGCAAAACTGGATAGCTAGGCGGCGCTGTTGTCCGCCTTGAAACATTTACGACTCTGTCATTTTACGGCAGTAATAAACACTACCTTAACATGTCTATCTTGTGCTCCGCGTTATTATGTTTTCACCTAGGTAATCGCTATTGACAGGACAAAACCAGTCAATATCAGATAGAAACATTTTGTACAATTGACAGGAGCAGAACATTTTGACAGAATTTACATTGATAGAATCATCCTGTCAACTTAGTAACAGAAAAGTTTGTACAATCAAATGTCCACTCGTCTCAATTCACGAGTTTCCCATCCCCAGAATGCATTGCGAATCCTTGGGGGTAAATCTCATTTGCATAGCGCAGGACGGCATCCTGTTGACGTTCAACAGCTTGTTTTTCAAAACACACTGACAAACAAGCTGTTGAACGTCAACAGGATGCCGTCCTGCGCTATGCAAATGAGATTTACCCCCCAGGATTCGCAATGCATTTGGGGGATGGGAAACTCGTGAGTAGGCGTTGCCGCACTGCTGCTTGCTGCAGCTATTTACGGAACGAAACTCCGCCATGAGAGATGCCAACATGGACGCCTGTTTAGAGCAGCTCCATGCCCAGACGGCGTCAGCGGTGGCGTTACTTCAGCAGTACACGGAGTGGGAGGAGGGGGACAGGGTGTTAGATGTGGGGTGTGGCTGCGGGGAGGTCACCAAGTACATCGGCCAACAGCCAACCGTGGCGTCCGTTCTAGGGATTGACTTGTCGCCCCAGCTCATCAAGTAAGACATGATACCATTGGCACTGGGTTGTTACAAAGTGGGAGGGGGAGGGAGAGGAGAACAACTTTTCTAGTCTTCAAGCAGATGTTTGAATGTAAATTTTCACAGTTCTGTACCCCAAGCAGAGCTGTTAGGATTAAAAAACATGCGTGTATCGTACATTTTTTGAGCAGCTGGTATTTCTAACAGTGCCATGTGTAACGTTGAAGATTATCAGAAATGCGAGAAAAAAACACCGTCTGTTAGAAAACGATACGATTTTACTTTTTAACATCTGCTTCGGATTTATTACATTAATTTTATTATTTCCAATTCTTTCTAAATAGATCTTTTCTCAATTTTCTCTCTCTGTATATGCCATGCGACTATACGATGTAGAAAGTTGAACAACGATCTTTCAGTATTATACAAACTCAATAGTTTTTGTACATCAATGTGATATTTGAGTTTTGTAATATCTCTACAATTTTATGAACATTTGATATTTTTTTCAGTTACGCAGAGACGACCAACCCGTCACCCAAGGTGTCCTACAGTGTTGCAGATATCACTGATTCGTCTACTATAAAACCAAAATGGCGAAACTACTTCTCCAAAGCCGTTTCTTTCTCAGTCATGCATTGGATTTGCGACAAGAGTAGAGCTTTGAACAACATATTTTCCTGTCTAAAACCTAACGGATGCTTTCTTTTCAACTGTTTCTCGGATTCTTCATCCATTGTCAAGACCATAAGAGCCGTAGAGAGCGACTCGAGATGGCGAAATCTCGTGAAATCTCGCGAATTCACGTACACGATATACCCGTGGCTTGAAAACGATGTGGCCGGTTTCAGACGATTTATAGAAGAATGCGGGTTCGACGTGGAAATTTGTCGTTCACGTCGCCAGAAAGTCCACATTCCTCGTGAGGAAACATTCAGAGTGTCTGTCCGTCCGTTTATGCCACATTTTGACTTCATACCGACTGAGTTTCACGAAGATGTGTGGAAAACTGCGTGGCAAGCGGTGGAGGCTTGTGGCAGGGATGGAGGAAAAGTTTGGGTGACCAACTGTTTTGAAGTTCGCGCGCGGAAACGGCAATTCACTGGTAAACTGGTAAAATGATTGAAACAATCATTGCATCGTTCTGGTTTATTGTCAAGTAAGTCTTTCCAGCTTGAAATTTAAAGAATAACTCCTAAGTCTCATATGTCACAGTAGGAAAATGATTTCAACAAGACAGCAACGTTCTTTTGGTGAAACCTCCCTATAACTCTGCAGTAATATCCAAAACCGCCAGGGGACATCTTGCATGTTCCACCATGAAAGGGCTGTCTGGAAGATTTTACCTACAACTTGTTTTAGTTGCTGTCTGGGAATGTGACACAGAATGGCTAAATTCGTCTGATGGGAGAATGTGATATGGGAGTCTTATCTGAGAAAACAACACTCTGCCGTGCAAGGGTTCAGTTAAATTGAAAATTATGTGCCCGCTATGCACATTTTGACCAAAAGAAATACGTTTTCAAGGAAACTCAAAAGGAAAGTTGGCTGAAAAGTGAGAATTGTACACTGTGGGAAAACAATCCGCTAGTTCCTATTTGGAAATCCCACCACTCTGCTTGTCCTGCTTCCAATTAATAGCACGAAAACAGATATTTAAGCCAACTTGCCGAAGTATGTAAAATGTCGAGAAATACTTTCTTAGCAGACTTTAATAGGGTTCTGTTAAAATGAAAGCCTAAAGACAAATCTGAAGTTTCCGTAAGGTTTCCGTACTTGTAAATACGACAGAAATGCATCATGTTTAGAACTATACTTTAGCTTTACAAATTTACTATATACCGGCCATAATTGGCAAAACTGCAGCGATCGGCTGAAAACAGCCGACTTTGACACTGCTTGCACTTTCTACTTTTAATCCAAATTTCCAAAAAAAGTAATACAAGCGGCTGGAATTTTGGACGACAAGATCTATGGGCACAGAACCAACATTGTTTCTAACATATATGTACATAATGAAAGCCGCATCTGTCTCTGTAGATCGATTTAATGATGAAAATCGCAGATGGCTGGAAGCGAGGTTTATCTTACTGTGGATCTTTAATAACAAGCGAGAGACGTCGTTTTTAGCTTGTCTTGTTTTTCGTTCTTGATGAGCTGGAAGGCTCTCAGAGGAGCATGGGTAAAGGGATGAAGTCTGCCATCCCTCTCTTATACTGCTTTATATATTTTTTTCATTGTATGGCTTCATAGTGGCGTTACGTATACGTACCTTCAGTAATAAAAATAATTTGTCAGCAATTTATTTCTTTTTGCTGTTTTGGTTCACGCCGCGATCACAAGTGTCGTGGATCGTCGTAAGATCTTGATGTAGAATTTCTTAGCAGTCAGGGACAGAACCATATGGCCAACCGCTGACAAGGACCTAAGACACCGCTTTTCGTAACAAGACAGTCGTACGACGCATATACGACAATCCCATATGAATACCCCCAGTTTGGTCTGCAATCGTATGACGATCCTATACGGCCCATCAGTTATTAATTAATCCCAGACATAAACTTGACAACAGCACAACGGAAAGAATCGCCGTGCGTGCCAGACGTCACGAGTACGCAATAGAGGGCCACAAAACGGGGCAAGGTCCTGTTGTACCCAACCATCCATCACAAACTGTTGGCAACTTGTCAACTGTCGCCTGTATACTCTGGCCTTGACTTTTAAAGCATGTTAGAGCTTTATTATGATACGGATCGTTTCGAGTTAAATGACGCATCCCCGATAATTTGATGCGTATTGACATGTCTTAAAACCGTGCCCATATTTAGATAGCAGTCCGTATGTTTATTTGACCCGATATATGATTTATAAGTACCGTCTGGATATGTTAAGGGTAGGGGGAACGGCCATGTGACCTTAGCCTCAGCATGTCGTGTCTTAATTCTAGTAATAAACCACAGGCCTGGGCCTAAATAGAAACATACTTGTGAAATCTCGGGATTGGCAATGATGTATTAGCCGTATACGGGCTGGGCGAGGTTGTTGTTGGCTCCTGCAAGCGGTGGTCGTACACTACAAACGCCTGGGTGTGGGAACACCAACGAAACTTGACACGGCCTCTAGAAGCTTCGAGCGGCGGGCTTTGTCCGGCAGTCGAGCAGAAAAGACTTTGGACACACACGCGTAGCTCTCTCGACAACCGAGTCCGACTGCACACACCGAGTTTCAAAACAACCCGCTGTGTGCTATAGATCCCTATTCCCTACGTGCTAAGAGCGGCGGTATTTCGACATGAGCGCGCTCCGTCTGGACCCCAAGAAAAAGTACGTGTGGCGAGGCTGCGGAGTTCCCGAGGAGGCCTTCAGCTTCTGCGGGCGAGACGTCGTCATCCAGGAGAGTTTCGGAGGGGGCGGAGAGGCGGCCATCATCTGGCCGGCGGTAAGGGATGATCCTACTGACGCTCTGTTGTATACAGAACGTTGTTTTATCCAGAACCGCATGCTCAGACACGGTTCTAGGTACTAGTAGTTCACACGTATTCAAAACTTCGCCCCGGGCAATTTTATTATTATATACGCGAAGACTATCCAGAACCATGTTTTATCCAGAACCATGCTCACGGCTAACGGTTTACGTTCTGATTCTGATTATCGAAAACCGTGCCCAGTGCAAATTTACGTTCTTGGATACGCGGAGACTACTACTACTAGTATCTAGAACCGTGCCTGATGCTAACCCTAACCCATTCATGCATAGAACTAGATGGTTCTGGATACAATAACATCCTAACGTGTCAGTACTCTATGGATGGGGCTTAACAGCACGCCACCTTGCTTCTATGTGTACTTTTGCCACTTACTTCAAACACACTACGATAACTCGTCTGTCGAAATATACATTGTGTTTCGCCCCTGCTCAGTCAACAATTGGTGGTACGGATCTAGACTTAGTTGCTTGCACTATGCAGTTCGTATGTCATTTCTTCGAATTCTTTCTCAGTCTTTCTCACTTTTTCTTGCCGTCTTTGTGCATAATGTCTTCCCGAGTGCGTCCGTCTGTCCGTCCTTCCTTCCTTCCTTCCTCCCTTCCTCCTTCCTTCCTTCATTCCTTTTTTTTCATTCCTTCCTTCTTCCTTTATTTCTTTCTTCCTTGTTCTGTCCAACTCTCTCCCACTCTCTAGCTCTGGCTTCAGCCACTGAATTCCGCACCAAACCGGTTTAAATTGTTTTTAGACCGCCTTGTGTTGATAGATTTTAAGATTCAATCCATTGTTGTCACTCTACTGGCTATTACATATATGTAGCTTACAACTGTATGTACATACAGTAGTCAATTCAGATTCCCAATTTCAAACGCTATGTACTAATTTTCAGGGTCATTCGATTGAGAACTGATGAAGGATAGTGGATGTCTGAAATGCCTGAAATCTTCAAAGAATGCATCCCGTTGCTTGATTTATTTTGCATTGCGTAAATAACAGTCATTTGATCTTTTGCCACCCTTGAAACTGAAGTACCCGCCCTCATTTCTACCATACTTGTGGCCAGAAATAAACGTTTACATGACACGATGTCCCTATAGCTACGTGTACTCGTCCTAAACAAGACCAAAGGCCCTGCCACACATATGCAGGACGACCTTTCTTAATTCCCCCGACCACCAACAAACTAAGGTTGGCTGAATTCGAAGTTCGGGAGCAGTCTGACCTGATTTGGGCCACGCCTTCCATTCTTTACTAATCGAGTCGAATTTGAGTTTATTTTGAGTCAAATTTGACCTCCGAGCCCGCCCAAACAACTGCTAACCTAACCCCCCAAACACTAGCCAACAACCAGCCGGCCATAGTCCAACCTCCCGTCAACACCCGAGTACGTTAAACATTGTAAACCTTTGGGCTGGCGCACGTATCTTTTTATTGGCAAGAATGCACATTTTTTCACCTTCGCAAGGAGGAGCTAATCTTGTATATACACCGACGTAATATAATAAATTCCTCCCAATACCAGCATCGATACATCTCTTTTGATAAAATAATTTCATACGAAAGCTGCGAATCCCATAAATTTCAAGTATGCAGTGTTGTCAATTTGAGACTCTTCTTCTATAAACGTTATGTAGACACTCCTTGGTTGTGAATAGCGAACCTTATAAATCATAACAACGCCTGAGGGTAAATACTAACATGTGCACGGCCTCCAAAAACGACTGGGATTTCCCGCTCACGCAAACAAGAAATAAATATCCGGCAATGGGTGAACGAACTGTTATAAGGAGCCAAGTCCATCTTCGGAATCTATATATGTGTCGTTGGCTAATACAAGCTAGCTAACTGATACACGGGGATAACAACATATCAGTGTCTGAAGACACAGATGGTAGTTTGCAGTGTAAAGTTACAGGTTGTTTAAACGGCGGGCGATTTGATTTTGTCAGGTTTCTCACAACTTGTTGTCTGAAGTTTGAAAAATCTGCATATTTTTTTGGTTCATTAATATGCGCTACGTTTGGTGTTTTTTTTTTCTTTTGTTCAAGAACTTCGACGTAAAAATCATCACAAACGATACGATAGCTAAATTTAAACACCGCTGCCGTGTCATGATACAACATGTAAATTTTCTGGTTATTTCTTCACAAAGTAAGATGTAAAAACGTTACATAATACCCCTTTAAATCTACCGGCAAGGTCTCCAGAACTAACATACAGAGGCCTGGTGCTATAGTTCACATGCCTGGGTGTCAAACTTAGGCCGCCAAGCCATGTTCACATGCATGACATGCCTGTCAACTGTACCCAGCGTATCAAATGATGTCTACATCTGCCACTGCAGACGTGACTGATGGCACACAGACATGTTTCCTATAAACAGATACTAGATTTATTTACGTGGGATAGAGGGAAGGTCAAGAACGAATTTCAAAGCATAATTTGTAGGATCACTGAACGCTTGTAAACGCTTTTAGGAATTTCGAACCGTGACATACCGTATTACCGACCATACCGATATGATTAACTTAACTGTTTATTGAGAATATCTGAAATGGTTCCAGATTCCAGGCTGACGATTTTTTAAAATATTTGTTGCGCATGCAAACGTGAAACATACACACACACACACACACACACACACATACACACACACACACACACACACACACACACAAACAAGCAAACAAACAAACAAACGAAACAGGAACCGTGATACACACATTCAAGCAACAGACACGGTCACAAACAGGCACACAAACATACAGACGCACACGCACATCGATGATACTATGACAGACACACACACACACACACACACACACACACACACAAACACACACACACACCAATTGAAACATACACAGACAGACACATACACACACACACACACACACACACACACACACACACACACACACACACACACACACACGATCTCGAATCTGACAGTCTGTCCACTGGTTTGGATGCATGTCGAAGAGGACATGCCCTGATAGCCGTGTCTTTACTATTCAGTCAGCCACGGCGGCGGACGTGCCGAAACAGACACCTGATACATGATGGTGGTGCTGGTGTTTACAGTTGGAGAGATGAGGGGGAGGGGGGCAAACACACCTGTTTTACTGAAGCGTGTCGCGTAATACGGGTAGCAGCAAACTACAGGCAGGGGGCGCTATTGCAAACTGAGACATGCTCTACTACACTGGACATACTGGATTGGTCAGGAGAGTAACCTTTAAAAGTTTGCAAGCACTGGCTATTTCTATGATATATGTACCGATATGTGGATGTTTAACATTTAGGATATGTTGGGGTAATATAAAGTTATAGCAATCAACATCACCGTAGATCGCCGAGTCTTTACCCTGACATATATTTCATTTGTTTTGTCTATCAAAGGCCATCATTATGGGGCGATATCTGGAGGCAAATAAAGACTCTGTGGTGGACAGAAACGTCATTGAACTGGGAGCTGGGACCGGACTGACCGGAATAGTCGCCAGTTTGTTGGGTGAGGTGTTATGACTTCTCTCGAGGGAGGGGGGCTTTGGCTACCGCAGATTGACCTTAAGGTGAAGTTGGCAAGTTGGAAGTAATTGAGTCGTCCCACACGGATAGAGTACCAGAACAAACTCCGAGCCTGCAAGATTCCTGCAATACGTCAGTTTTGTGGGTGTGCCAATTCCCAAAAAATATTGCCAAGAGGCATTAAACTTCCGACTATTGTGACCCAAGGGCTACAGAAATGGAGAGGAGTGGAACGGGACCTTGTTGTCTTGTCAAGAATTAAGTTGGTATTGGATTAATTTTATATATCTACAAGAAGGAAGTGTACATGTATTGTAATTTGTCGCAGAACAAGAAGTACTTGAGTTCTGTAAGATGAATTGTTTACTTTCAAGTAAAACTGTTGGGTAAAACATTTACAAGTATCTTGTCTACAGGCGCCAAGGTCACGCTCACCGACACAAAAGAGGCTTTAGAATCGACGTCAATTAACGTCGGCAGGAACACGAAGAAAGTGCGGCACGCTCCCAAGGTACAGCAGCTGAGATGGGGGGCGGACCTGCACATGTACCCCGAGTCCGACCACTACGACTACATCCTGGGTGCCGACATCATCTACATCGGTAGGGGGCATGTGTGATCATTAACATCGTTTTGAAAGTCCATCTGTGTTGTTAGATCATAAATAGCATTGTGAAGAAGGATTAACCTCATTATACTGGATATAGACGGGGGTCGGTACCGACTTCCAACGACCTTTGACCCATTGCTCACGTCACACTTCCGGAAGGGGATGACGTATCCTAAGTAATCAGGACCTAAAACTAAGGAACTAACGTATCTTGTATACAATAACCATAAATGTAAATACGGGAGGATTTATCGACTTCGTCGATATAGTTAAATAGATAATCTCTGAAATACTATCTCTCTACAGAGGACACCTTCCCCGACCTCCTGCGCACTTTGCGGCACCTGTGTGACCGGGACACGGTCATCCTCCTGGCCAGTAAGATCCGGTACCCCCGGGACGAGCGCTTCTACAGCATGTTACGTCAGGAGTATGACGTCAGGGTCGTCAAGGAAGACAGGGAGGAGGAGGTTAAAATCTACAAAGCCACGCTGCCGAGAAGGGACGTCGCCGCCATGCCTTGTTAGACAAGGCCGTACTTCGGCGTTGCGCGTTTCCGTGTACGGTAAACGGTCGTTGCCATTTGAAACAGTGAATATCGTAGAAATTTTAATTATTACTACTATGTAAATTTCTGAGAGATATCGTGGGTTTTTAATGAAGACCTAGCTTGAAAATTCAGTTTTTCTAAAATTGGGCGTGGCCTCATAACTATTAATGACGTCATGAAAAATTGGGTTTTAGGATTAAGGTTTTAGGATTAGACTTTTTGACCCGAGTTCGAATCCAAGCTTGTGTTCTGTCTTTTTTTCACTAACACCTTTACTATTTCTCACGATACTGACGTACATTTGCAAATCAAATGTTTTTTAATACTTTTATACTGATGTTTTTCCCCTTAAAAAAGTTATGATAAGCTCGGACATGGCATCGACCATTTAGCGATATGGCATCGGCAGTTTCAAATGGCAACGACCGTTTACGAGTCGGAAATGCGCTTCGGCTAGAGGCTAAACACGGACATAAATTAAGGCTCAAGCCATACGTAATGTTGTTTTATTCAAAGAGTACAACATATGTCACCCTAGCCTATGGTCCGGCATCTCTCACATTAGATGACGTAGGTTGTACCCCCATCCCCGTCTTTTAAAAATAGAAAAAAAGCTTTTCAATTCCAAAATAACGTGGTGCTTTTAATTCACTCGTCTGATCGACTGCTCTACCCTATTAAATATCAAAATCTCTACTGTAACTGTAATGTATCTATTGAATAAGCGGTGGAAGAATATATATTTATTTGAAGAAAAAAACGAGGAATACGACTAGTATGGCACATGTATGCTACCTGATTTGCTTTTATACTTTGTTAACTTCTGTACATTTTCACTTAATAACATGATAGATGAATATGCAAGGCAAGGTACCTAGCTATAGTCTTAGTATAAGTGTTTGAGTTCACGTATTGTTGCATGGAGGGCACACGCCGCCATTAATTTAAGATAAATGTAGTATTTGAATAAAAATTAAACAATTTGCATCATCATCATCATCAACAATTTGCAATAAACTTATTATTACCTCCATACGGAGGTATTGTTTTCGGTGGCTCTGTTACTGTGTTTGTTTGTGTGTCCATAGTTATCTAATTACGGTGGAGTGACAGGAAGTGAAGGGGGGAGTGATGTAACCGCAGATTGACAGGAAGGTCGAATTGGCTGTCAATATGGTCTCCTGTATGTTGGGATGAAGGTGATGGTACAAATAAGGTTATTCCATATTCTGTCTCAAGTTTCCCGCTATATATTATATTTTCATGTCTGATGTCTTATGGGAAAATATGCAGAATCGGCGATACACGATAATAAACAAAACAAGAAATTTACAATTCTGATATATTCGATGAATATTTCGATTTATTATTCAAAGCTTTATTGTCTGACCTGGTCAGATTCTGCATTATCAAAAATACTAGTAATCAAGACTAAAAAGCTTTTAAATTTGAAAAATATATTTTGGTAATTTATTAACATGTTAACACATATACTTTTACAAGAAAGTCCAAAAACGTACGTGGGGTCTACTGCTGCATTGCAATTGCCCAGGGAAGCGCTATTATTAGATTAAGATAAACCTTAAGAGGACCTGATGATCCCACGTACATGGTACATTCGTGATCCACAGTAACCCTCTATCGTGACATAGAAGGAAGATACTAAAGCCTTTAATCACAGTCAGCATGAAAGTGTAAGAGAAGGGGAAACAATTTCAAGCAGGGCAGATATAGATTTCTAAATCCGACCATCCAACCGGATCGCGGAAATCAGGATCTGTGACTTATTCAGAACATTTTCGGAAACAATCCGTAATGTTATAGCCACATTTTTTTTTTTTTTTTGTTTACTGGCCGTACTCAGTTGGTACCATGTAAACGATAGGATTTCTGGTGGTTGGCCGTTACTAAATGCACTTCGGCGTGAAATATCATGTCACCCATTAGAGAGATCATAAGATACAACATCCTTCCGCTGCACCTGTGCCAAAAATAAAAGGAGGATATATATCCGGCCTCTGAACAATTTTTACGCACACGTTCTCACTCTCTGAAAACAGTTTCTGACAGAAGAAACAAGCAAATCGGGCAAAAGTACTCTTCAAGTAGAGCTTTAGGCTTCGGCATATTTGTGATGTTTAATGTTTTATTAGAAATCCAATCTATTCTTCCTATTCTTCATCCTAAGATCCTAAATTTAATGATGCTCAATAATTTTTAATGATGTTCACCCTTACTTACTCGTGCTCGACTAAATTCCATGTATTGACTGCCTTACATGTTACCACTATGGAATTGAAGTATCACTCATTAATTATGCAAATTAGATGTACATTAACATAATCAATATCGGACAATTTTACTCTTGTTATCAATAACATATGACACAAATTTGAAAAGTCCCAATATGGAACGCAGCAAATGTATAGAACTTCCTCATGCAAATGTAGCGAAAACCTAAGCTCCAAGCAGATCTTTTGGTGGGGGTAAGGCAGTAACAAATTGGCCAGTCTGTAACCATTTCCCCCCAAAAAGGGCCATATTATTATATAAAAAGCAAACGATCTTCCACCATCAACCTCTGCTTGGAGAGTAGCGAAAACCAGTACCTGTACCCTCCTGCTAATAAATGGTATCGTCCAGTGAAAGACCGCGCGTGCCTACACCACGTGACCTCCTTCTGACATTCGCCGGTATCTAGAAAGTACGGACACAAAAACCCTCCCATTTCCTTGTTTTTTTCTGCAAGAAAGCACGAAAGGTGAGGCTTCACGTTCATTTCTATGATTCTCAAGGTATTGATGATTTGATATAAGGCCTGGTAGCGGTGTGTTGTGGTTTTATTTTGAGGAAAATTACTGAGAATGTTTTAAAGGTTCCACTGTCTAGTCGACACACACATGAAATACACGTGTGTTGTGTAACATATAGTATATCACTATCAGGAGATGACTTCGCACATTTTCGTTCTTTTGTGTCACAGAAGTCACGAAATGCTAGAATAGCTCCCCCTAAACCACGGCTACCTGGAAATATTGACAATCCGTAAACAGGGCTTTAGAAATCCAGCACGAGTGTGTTATATGAGAAGTTGTCCTGGTCGACTGCAAAGAAAAGTGGGTTACTATACTATATGAGAGGGTGGGGAGGGGGGTTTACTAATGTTATTTTAAACGTTAAAGAGGATATCCGGCTTTATTCTTGTGAAGCATATATACTTGTGAGCTCTATAAAAAAGGGTACAGCCGATGACTTGCATTTTATCTCAGACATCGACTTATTACATCGATTTTCATATGCCAGTAGCATAATAATTTGACATTTACACAATATATATTTTGTTATATTGTGTTTATTGCTATGTATATGATTCTTACGTTGTTACTAAATAGTTTGGAGTGTTTACCATTCATTGTAGCATTACACGGTTCTTTATTGCCAAAGCACTAGTAGTAGGAGACCAAAGCAAACATTGCCAGATTTCATTCTGGAAACTTCTTTGTTTGACCAAGGCAGTCACTCACATTACTGTAAATTCATTTATTTTCGAAGGAATTTTTTTTTGAACATTACAAGAGGGAAAAGGTTTTTTTTACTGTTTACTGTTATTATCACAACCTTATTTTATTATTTTTTGACAGTATATTAACAAAATATTGATAAAATGCATATATAAGGTAATAAAATTGTAATTTTGCTGCCCCTCCCTTAAAAATGCGTTCCCCAAATATTCTACCTATCCTATCCTTTTTTGCATACAAGTCATTTTGTCTGACATTTCGTGAGATAAAGATTACATGGTTGCATGTAAAGGGATGATGCCAACTTATCTGCTTTAAGAAGAATTTAAGCTTCTTAGAAAATAAAAGCTTCTAACGACAAGACATTTGTGTAATCTTTTTATCCCCCATAGGGTCAAGGTCAACACCTAACGTTACATTTAGTTAGCCTAAGACATCAATTCACTTCTTTCAATTCTTTATTATCAAATTAGATTGATCTTGTTAAGATTCTACAATAATTTTTTAAAATTAGGATAGACCTTAGTAAATGGCCAAGCCTTTTCATGGGACGTCTCTTTTGTACTAGTGTTATGATAAATTGTTAAATCATGGTCTCAAAGTCCAAATCAGTTCAAGCAAGTGCTTATTTTAGTGATAAGAGAACCCTCATGACTGTCACACATATATTTGCAGATAAAATATTTGCTTCCTACTGGTGCTAGTTATATAGTGTTACTATAACTTATAAATTAAGGTGAATGAACCCTAGGCCTGCTTAAAGTTAAAGTATATCACAGATTGAGTTACTGTAAATTCATTCACACTTCTTACAGTAACTCAATCTGTGATTTACTATCAGTTATGAATTAAGGTGAATGAACCCTAGGCCTGCTTGAATTATATCACAGATTGAGTTACTGTAAATTCATTTAATTTCCCGATGTTTTTTATTTTATTTTTTTAGGGACCTCATTTTTACTTGCTACAATACTGTAGTAGTACAGTAGCCCTACATTGGAAACACTAAAAATTTCAAGGTCAATTATTAACCATGAAAATAAAACCAATTTGCAAAATTTTGAAGTTTAGCAGTTAACCAATTCTTTTTTAGTTTGCCGTTGATGCAAAGTCCTTTACTGACAGAAAAAATTCCTGGTGTTATGATTATGCCTTGGATAGGCCACCACATATATCACAGCCAATATTTTAAGATTCACAGTAAGCAAAGAATCACGACTCATTATATATTTGCATTAAGTCTGTGCTTGAAAGGTGGCTATGTTAGTCTAATAGTAGTGAATAATACAGTTAGTAGGCTGGAAACATTGTTGAAAAGACTGAAGTTGTCCTTGCCAGTTTGGTCATTGTATACCGGTATTGGTGTGTAAACAAAGCTCTTAACTCGTAGGCTAAGATACACTCGGGTCTGAATAGCATGCCATGGTTTCCCGGTTAGCACTGAATCTTCTGATTGCATGTGGATATCCTTCATCTCCAAGCAGATGTATGGTTATATATACATATATGCTTGGTGGTTTTTTTTACAGCAGTTTGTTCATTTTTCTAGTGGTTTGTGTTTTTAGCCCCCATATGGAAAATGATGCAAAAACGCACATAGAAAAAACGTACCCTATATGTTTGCTTCGACATTATATGATATATATTAGGGCTTGAAATACTTTTTCTGCATACCTGCACCGGTGTAGGTAACGATATGAATTACCAGCACCAGACAAATTTTACCTGCACCACTCAGAATTTAGGAAGTATGGATCATACCAAAGATTGTTCAGAAACCATTGCCAAGATATTTCAGAGGTGATAACACTACTAGTAACAGTCATTGCAACAAATAAAGCTCTACATACACCTACATGTACATGGACCAGTGCAGATTAGGTGCAGGTAGACATCAGAAATACCTGCACAGCTCCAATTTTACCTGCACTAACCTGCATATACCCAGTTGAGTACATGGACCAGTGCAGGTTAAGTGGAGGTAGATATCAGAAATACCAGCTCCAATTTTACCTGCACTATTAAACCTGTACATGCAGGTGGTATTTCCAGCCCTGGCACTTGTATTTTTATAGATTTGTTGAAGAAACACCTGACGTATAAAAAGCAACCCAAACCTCACGACATTTGGTTGGAGATCAGTGATGCGAACATCCTTTCACGAACACCGTCCAATGGCTTAGAGGTGGTAATTATTTCCGAGAACCCAGGATGTGCCTGTCATGCTCTATTTGTCACACAGGTAATAGTAAGAGTGACTATGCAAAATCCGGTGCTTAATATATAGTCGGTGTAACAGGAATTCAGTGTATGTTGATACCAGTATCCATAACCAGAATTCTAGACCTACTATTACTATTAACAGGTATGCTATTCTATTACATTTACTACAATGTTGCATTGTTGCATTACAGGAAATATGAACATTCTATTTGTGTACATTTGGTAAATATGGTGTTACACTGTTAACAGGTGTTAAAAATCTGCATATTGTCAAGCAATTCTGCATTTTGTTATGCATACGTGGCCTTTTTGATCAATCCAACTACATATGTTTTATATATATTAGCAATCTTTACAATGAGTATGTACGCATGATAATTGATTTGATTTTAAATTTACTTTTAAGTCTGTTTTATATTTCAGTAGGAGGGGTTGAGGGGGAAAATACATGCACTTGTTTTGTGGTTAAAACTTAATATTTTATAGATTGAAGACTATGAATTTGAGTGGTTTGAATGAGGTGATTTTGAAAATATACATGATGAAGCTAAAGTTGATGTAACCTGACTTTATAAGCTTTAAAGTTTAAGCAATAATTATTTTGCAACAGGTTAAAATGCAGACATGTGGTACTCTTTTGTTCTCTGAACTATGAAGTCTGCGTACAGCTGTGATTGGCACTGGCTAAACATTGTCGTTAATTTGAATTTCTTCCACTTGATGCCTGGCCTTTGTACTGCGGTATATGCCCCTTCTGGTTGTCCATCCAATTTGTACCATTTTTTAAGTGGTGTCCGAGATCACAGAGCCAGCTGTTGGGGGAAAATCATTGCTGGTGTGGGAAGGGTATGGATTAATGCCTGACAAGTTGGTTGGGAAAGATCATTGCTGGTATGAGGAAGGTATGGGTTCTTACCTAACAAGTCGGTTAGGGGAAGATCATTGCTGGTGCAGGGAGAGGCTGGTACTAGTATGCAGTATAATGTCAGGGTATCATTACTGATCTTTAGAGGGAATTGGTGAGGGTATGGCATTCAGGAAGGGACAGATCATAATTCTATCATTCTGGGGGAAGAAGAAGATACATGTATATGAAAAAATACTGAGTTTAGGGGGAAACAGAATGTAGCTGTTGTAACCAGTAACATGTGAGAGGGAGAGTTAACTGACAGGAAGTTAGGTCAAAGGTCCCAGAAAGGGTTATCTCACTTCCTATCTTCAACTTCCTGCTATATGCATATCTGTTGCCCTATGACAATGACAACTAGTATTAGTGGGAAGGTATCTGAATAGACAGATTAAGCAAGAATTTTACAATAAATAAAATAAAGATTCAACCAAAATTTAACATTTCATGGACTTATGAGTATGACTGTAATATCTTTGATCTGTTTGACATTTTAGATCTGTATTAAATTTCTCTGTTTTTTTTTTAGGAGTACTGAACCAAGATGTCTGCCGGAAACGCCAAGCTCACCCACCCTGCTCCCAACTTTGAGAGCACGGCCGTGCTGCCTTCTGGAGAGTTCAAGACCATCAAACTCTCTGACTATAAAGGTAGGCTTAACATTCATTTCATTGTCATATTTATAAAGCAGTGTTCCAGCTAGCCTTTTTGATTCAACTACCTTGTAAGAATGTAATTATTACAAAATTTTTTCTTCTCTTGTAGGAAAGTACTTGGTCATCTTCTTCTACCCTCTGGACTTGTAAGTAGCATTCAATGTTGAACAGTTCTTTACATGCACACAGTGACTGTAAAATACATGAAATGTATTTCTAAAATTCAAGCTTAAAATTGCAAACTGTCACATGCATTTTGTGAGATTTTAATGTTTGTTATGCAAATTCTGTAATGCTAGATTCCACAAGTAATTTAGGTACAAGGTATGGGGTATATTTTGAATCATATTTACTCTTTCTCTTTCTTTTTTTCCCCAGCACGTTTGTGTGTCCAACAGAAATCATAGCGTTCAGTGATCGTGTGGATGAGTTCCGTAAGATAAACTGTGAGGTGGTGGCCATTTCTACAGACTCCCAGTTCTCACACTTGGCATGGTGGGTGTTAAACACACACAGTACAGCTGTACATATATATCGCCTTTAAATTAATTGGACAGATTTAAATAATTTTTCATCTACACGGGTGCAAATCGTGATCAAAAGCTGACTGCTTTTCTCAATTAAAAAGTTCCATTCCTTTTTTGTTTAAACAGTGTATAGGTTTTTTTGTAGTGGCTATTTGTTATAAATAGCCACACGCTATTGCAGCTAAATAGTACATCCTGTATACTGTAGTTTAAAATACAGCAATTGAATTTTTTTTCTAACCGCTATTTGTAAGTCAAAAGAAATGAGATGAAGACAGTTTCAATAACAAATCATTAGACTGATTATGACTTATTTAATTCTTTTTTTACATTCAGGACGAACACCCCCAGAAAGCAGGGTGGTCTGGGGCAGATGAAGATCCCCATCCTGTCAGACAAAGCCATGACCATCTCACGGGACTACGGAGTGCTGATGGAGGACGAGGGCATCGCCTTCCGGTTGGTTTATTTTCTTGTTTTTATTTGGTCCAAGTATAACAAATATAAACTGCTTTAGTCAGAACACAACAGTTTTGTGCAGTAACTATAAGCCTTGTAAGACAAGACTGTAATTAAGGTTGAACCACTAACACTTTAAAGGCTATTCCTCTTGATAAGTGTGGTGGGTTCTTTAAGGTGTGGCTCTCCTCAAACAACTGATCTCCTATTCAAAGCTAGGCTTTCCCAAGGGCACAACAGCTATACAGGAGCCTGCTAGGGAATCAAACCCAGAACCTCTAGATTCTGAAAAACCTTGCCTTGACTACATTTACATAATTAATTTTCTCTACCAATCCAGATAGCACCAGATAACGTTATCTCATAAATCTTGTCATTTTTTCCTGTATTTCAGTGGTTTGTTCATCATTGATGACAAGGGTACCCTGCGCCAGATCACCATTAACGACCTGCCTGTGGGGCGCTCAGTGGACGAGACACTGCGTCTGGTGCAGGCCTTCCAGTTCACCGACAAACATGGAGAAGGTGGGGCAAATTTATGGTTGTGGATATGTATTGATAAACTTTTGTAATAGATGCTGTCATTCAATAATACAATATTGCAGCGAAGTACTTTTGGAAGATATAATCAAATCCTGGATAGTGAGTGTGGGCGAGTGATCAGTGATTTGGACACCATTTTCCTACTATGAGTGGGTTGCTTTTTTTGTTATAAATGGTAACAGTAACACCACGCCACACCAATTATATTTCTAACTTCTCAGGTTTTTCTGTTTCCAAAACAATGCTGATGTAGCAGCCCTAGGCGTACCCCGGCTAGAATGTACCCCGGGTACATTCTGACCAGGGGTGTAGTCCGGCCTGCTACACCTGTAGTAAAATCATTTGGTAACCTTCAGCACTTTAACATCACAATCATTTTTTCCCCAGTGTGCCCTGCTGGCTGGAAGCCTGGTGCAGACACCATCAAACCCGATGTAAAGAACAGCAAAGAATATTTCTCCAAGCAGTAACTCAGCCGCTGTAGAGGATAGCTGCAATCTCCAAGCAGATGTTGGGTGAAAGATCTCAAGTTCTAACTGTCAGTCTGCCCTCTATGAAAGTCGCAGCGGCAATCTTTCACCACAATATCTGCTTGGAGATTTGACTGCCATTCTTGAACTTGTAGACAAAATCCTGCTGAAATATCTTTGTATATGGAGTAATAGCACGGAATTCTTAGTTGAAAACAAGCGCGGCTAGACATTTACTAAATCAAGATTATCAAACCCTAAAAGGAAATCCTATGTTAAATTATCAGAGGATGTTGTTTTGTTTTGGTTGTTTTATATGTTTTTCATGTTAAGTATTCTGTGGTGTAGAAATAGTTTGAAGAGAAGACAGTTAAAGTATTGTGGCATCATGAAAGAAAAGGAATTGGGTAAAGCAAGTTTAAGGTGCAAACTGTAAGTTCAGTCGATACACGTACAAATGTACTAGTCTAAGAGTACTTGCCAAGCAGAGGTTGGTTGGGAAGATGGGACTTTTCATAGGTTCCATTATGTTCCAGCCGAATCTGTGGCCTATCAGATAGTGTCTTCATATGACTTTGTTACCGAAAGATCTGCCTTGAGTTTGCAGCATGCGATTCTGGCTGTTAACATTCCTGTGTTTCAGTGTCCATCCCTTGCAAGAACTTTGAGCATTTATATGGTTGTTTGGTATGCTTGTGATAGGAAAGTTGTTCTTTGCTTCTCAGTAAAACAAAGAGGTGCTTTGAGCAACAAATCTTGACTTTATTGCCTGTTATTTTGAATCTTTGCTATTTTCTTGGTAGGAAAACTTTTGACATATACAGTATAGATCTCGAATAACTTCTGATCTACACACATACAATATGGGATTAAATAGTGCATGCAGTTTTTAGGGCATTTGCATGAGTTTTAACTGTGTGTTAGTCAGCTTTTACTCTGCTTTTGATAGCAAACCAAACATGATTTGCACAAGAAATTAATGGGAAGGGAAGTTAATCAAGACCTGTACTGTAATTTGATAATTGTTTAAGTCCACATTGCACAAAGGTTAATGTTAACACAAGTCTTTCATGTTACCATTCGAACATGTATATAAATGTTAGGTTAGAAGCACTTTCAAACCCAAATCATTATAAAAGCACTATTGCCCGTATACATCATTCAAACCATGATATGCTAACATGCAGTTTTGAGTTGCATCATATCCTTGTTTTACATATGAAAAACAATATTAGCTTCAAGTTAGTTTCCTTTTATCGGAGATATTGTGGCAAGGGAAGGGGACCAAAGTTAACAAGGCTGGACTCCAGGCTACTATTTTGGGGCTTAAAAACGTCATTTTAATGCAACATACCCAGTTTCTTGTTAGTGTTTCTAAGTCCTTACAAAGAGCAGATATGTCCTTTGTAGTTTACCTTAAAAGCCTCAAAAAAGCTTGACACTTAGAGCCTCCTTAGTAGGCTTATTAAGCTTCATGGCAATATTAGCATTCAATAGTTTTAATATGTGTCAATCATCGACGCAAGGAGAGGCTCCACTTTGTGTCATTGGCTAAGGAGGGTAGGCGCAGAGGGGCGGGGCTTGCTGGCCCCTCCCCCTCCATCCCTATCGAATAGGACGCACACCTCTGCTTCCTGGTCAGTTTGGTTGCCATGGCAATCTGGGACGGCTTGTCGTTGTTGTTGACGGGTTGTTTTCTCCGCAGGTTTGGGAGGCTGAAGGCCTTCATTTGTGAGGCCAGCTGTATGAAGCTCAGAGTCGGCACAGGTTGAGAAGTGCCCCCCGGTGACGGCGTTTTGATGTACATGTTCGAAACAGATGCAGATCGAACGGGCTCGTTTGCTGATCTCGTAGGAGAGAGTCGTTGGCTATTGTTTGTAGGTCGTCCTGGAAACAGCCCAGGTAACAGCGGTTGCGACACAGTCGGTTTATCGGCTATGCTTTTTTCTGGGTTTTTGGTGGGCTCCATTGAACTTAGGGACATACCATTGGCTACAAGCCGCGGGGTCCTTTCTGCTACGTTACGCCAGCGAATGGGTAACGTTTTATCTGGAGGTTTAAGTTCGGTGGGGTTTGACTGATCTGCAGTTTGTAGCAGTCTCGGAATCTGAGGTCTCTGACCCGAGTTTTGCGCTGAAACACGCTGAGAACCGTTTTCGCCCTTCCCTTGTTTTGCACGAGGGTTGTTTTGAGGTTCAAGATACTCCAGAGGCTGGGACTTGATCGCGTTAAGAAGGTCCTTGAGATCGCGTGTCTGTATGTTACGGGCGAGGCGTGTCTTTTGGTGCTGCAGTTCGATCCGATGCACCTTGTCGTGTAGGCGGCGCTGCAGAGACACGTTCATCATACGGGCAGTCTGGAGAGACATGCTGTGCCCGCTGGACAACTCAACCAGACCACCTGGAATACATGTATAGAGAAAAAAGGTTATTGCCTTCGTCAAAAGGGTATGTTTTCGTTTTGGCCATGGTGAAGTGGGGGTCTGAATGTATGTCAACATAACTCCAGAAGCAGTCAATGGATGATAGCGTTTGTTTTAAATGATTACATTTGGGGCCCCTGCCAGCTTGTTATGGTACTGCAGTTGAACTTTTGATTTCTATCATCGGGTGGAGACCAATGATGAGATGAGATGTTATTTACATAATCGATGAGAAACATCTATAGTTTCACAGTCGTAAAGGTTAACATTATTTAGCAAAGGTATGAGGTCGTGAACCTCTTTGTAGTTTTACTATAGCTGCCATTGTCACCCCAGGGCCCTAGCGGGTATTAAACGAACTGCAGCTTAAGTGCCCTATGCCCAGTTTCCATACCTGCATAATCCTTTGATTATTCGTCATTTACCTCTACACGCACATCAATCAGTCCCCTGTCTGAAGTATGCGGAGCTTAATCCTCTAAAATGAGAAAAGATGTGGAACATGATATGATAACCACCCTGGCCCCAGGGGCGTCCTTCTTTGCAATGCAAAGTGGACAGAAAGTTGTCTGAAATCGATACAACTTTCTTTACAATGCAATTTCAGGGTCTCAAAACAAAACAAGATATTCTAGATGTGGAAATCTGTCTGCTATTGACATTTTACTACCATTTTTTGGTACATGATCGCCAGCATTTCACACATGAAGCGTTTGAAATAGCTCTTAAACAAGCTACGTGGGGAGTCCCTACCCTTATTTTGGGTGCCACCAAAAACAGCTAGAACCAGCATACGATATGTAATGATGGTAGCAACCATTTTCCGTCAGCGACGTCGCATTTTGGCTCATAAACACTAGTCTTTAGTTTATCCAGCACCAAATTTAGATATTGGTAAAAGCATCAAACATTACTCCTTTCTTCATTTGTTTATTTATGTCTGTATAACTTTCGAGCCCTCTTGTGATATAAGATCGCATGTCGGTGAAGGGTAACACCAGGCTTCGTCTTCAGTGCAAATTAGCCGAGGTGTCAGACAATTGGGCAATTTTTGTCACCATGTTGGCTTCATCGGAACAATAGAAGTTTATCACGGCTTGTAGCCAGACTACAAAACACGTACGGTCTGCATATTTATTACGTTTAATCGTGTTTTCCTACCTCCGTGGTTGAATCGACTCAAGCACATTACATCGCATTTGTGTAACACCGTGAAATGGAGCATAAGACTTCCCTTCCACTAGACTGCTATCGCATCGAGCAACCAAAATTGGATTTGCGTGACCCTTGGAATACGTATGATGCACGACGTTAAAGGCATCCGCGCCTTTCTTTCTATACGAGTCGAATCAAATTTGAATAAAATTTGAGTCAAATTCGACCCCCGAACACGCTCCGAACACTGTTGACCTACTCCCAACCACCAGCCAACTACCAACCAAGCATATGGTCGACCTCCGGTCAACACTCGAAAGTTTTAAATATTTTGAAACCTTCGGTTTATATATAGTAACACAGTCTAGCAATAGCCGACCTGACCGAACATCAGCCAACTATACCCGACCGTGCTCCCGACTTACTCCCAACCATGATGTAGGGAGTTCGACTAGTGTTCGGGAAGCCATAATCGGCTATACATATGACAGAGGCTTCCTTCAGCAAGAACACAAACAAGTGGTTGGTGACATGTGATGACTTGTGTCACAGAGGACGGATCTGTGTAGACAAACGCACCCTGAAACCTAACCCTACACGGCTGTCACTGATACGTGTATCTAGTCTTTATACTGGCCAAAAAGATACTTGGTTCACTTTTGTTTACGGGACCAAATTGCCAAAGAATAACATCCATGTGGGTTGCGTATTCAGGGCCACTAACAAAAATTTTAACACACATATACACAGTAGGATAGCTTGTATCTAAACCATATTAACACTTAGTTATGGTGTCTGATAGTCAACCATGTACGTTGACAATAAGCCTAATACTAACAAGTCTTCAAGATGGTGCATCTTCGAACTTCTTGCAGTTCTGTGGCCCTTAAACTGTGACACAAGGAGTGGGTGTTTTTCAGCAGATGACACTTCCTTGGCCAGTTTACTATCGTAAAGTCTTACTAGCCTCCACCAGGCCTTTATATTGAGGTAGGAATAGTAGAATTCGGCAAAAAAGGGGAGAAAATTGGCCAGGATAGTCAGTTTGCAGGAAGCTATTAAGGTTAACTTCGAGCTCTTTGGTATATTCATGTAGCCAAACTACCCTGGCAGATTATCATCCGTATATTGGCCAGCGTAGTTAGAGTTCAATAGAGACTGAAGTCTTACCTTGTCCATCGTTTGAAACAGGTGGAGCGGCCGACATCGCTTCAACTCAGGAAAAAATCCAACTCCTAACAACGAACGGACATTGAGTCTTCGAACCTTCGGGTTGAGAAGGACATAGAACGCGCTACTGAGATAGCAACTACCGCAGACAGCCAGCTTCCCTGTGTGTCTTCTCTGTGTACAATGTTGTGTTGTAGGCAGAAGAGTTGTGACTCGGTTCACATGGATATCTGTCCCCAGGCTATACCGGCTTGTCCCCGCCGGATCAATTATACCCAGTGACAACTCGTGCATAAGAACAGCCGCCTGTAATCGTGTCTTGATGACTGGTTGGGAGAACAATACTCCAGCCGTGACGGGTAACAATCGTCTCACCTGCGGTCAGACCTGTGATGTTCACGGAAGGTGAGGAGTTCACTACAGGTGTGTGGCGTTTCCATGGTAACGGCGCTGTCAATCACGTCCGCGGGGGGCTGTTTCGTCGGACCCCCCTTAGATCGCCCGGGGGGATGTCTTAACTCTGAGATCTCTGTCTTAGACCTGCTTGGTTTGACTTATTGATTGCTTTTTCGAAGGAAAAGTACTTATTTCTATCCCGGTGGTCAGTCTATCGTGACTTGGGTGGGCTCTCTTCAAACCTTACTCCTGTATTTGTTTATTTATGTTTGCACAACTTTCGTGCCCTCTTGTGATTCAAGATCGCAAATCAGTATAAACTAGAGTTCCCCGATCTCATACCTTCGCCAAATGATGTTAATCTTTATGACTGACAAAGTTTAGATTAGATTATTCCCCCCTGATTTAAGAAATAGGAACCCAATTTTCATGAATATATCATTTTATCATAATCTCAACCAAAAGACAGTCTTATATTAACAAAGAATGCATTCTAGCATTTCCTAATAAATTATGCAAATGAGGTCCTGATTTAAATAAATTATATTTAATGATGTTCACCTCAATTTAACTTTCAAATACCACAAGTATGAAATTCCAGGCAGTTATCATTACATAATTATAAAATTTTCTCATTAATTATGCAAATTAAGTCATTATTAACATAATCAACATCTTCCTGTGTTTCTCTCGATGTCAATTACCAATGTCACAAGCTTCAATTGTCCTATCATGGAATGCAGTTGATTTATAGAATTTCCCCATAAATTATGCAAATTACATCCATATTTGCATAATTGTCACATAATTATATTAAGCATCACGTAAGCTACCTACATACCAAAAATCATGACGATCCGTCAACCGGTTATTGAGTTATCCCCTTTTGAATATTTTCAAGAATTTATCCCTGCAGTTCCAGAGCAAGCCGATAGGGGGCCTAAACTCACGTCACTTCTTTCCCAGCACAAGAGCTACCTACCATCTAAATTTCATCACCATAGCATGTCTAGATCATGAGATATCAAAACCGGAAGTTCAGCTGCAGTACCATAACAAGCCGCTAGGGGGTCCAAAATCTAATCATTTTGAGGTCTCATCAAGACCTACCCACCTACCAAGTATCAAGACAATCCATCAAGGCCTTCTCAAGTTATCGTGTTTACAGACACACACACACACACACACACACACACATACACGAACGCCCCTGAAAACATAACCTTCTTGGCGAAGGTAAATATAACATTCACTAGCATATAGGCTTCGTCTTCAGTGCAAATTAGCCGATGTGTCAAACAATTGGGCAATCTGTGTCACCATGTTCACTTCATCGGAACTATTCGAAGTTTATCACGGAGTTTGTAGAATTTTTTTCATAATAGTGGTTCTATCTGTTCTGACCAAGGAGAACAAGTATGATGTTTTTAAAAAAACACAGGCGACGATTTTGTGTTTAACTGTTCCGTTCTTTATAAATCTTTTTTTTTTCAAATACGTACACATATAATTCAGAAAGAATCCAGAATTTCTGTACAGTATGAGGAAAGCCGTCAGGGGTCCAAAATCAGTTAGACCCAGGTAAATTTATGTTGTGTTTCTAGCCCTTGAAAAATTAGAATCGCTAGATAGGGATTCACCTTTTTTATCTGTCTTTTGTTTTTTTCATAGATCTTTATAATTAGTGATCCAACTAATACAGTTAATATAACAATGAAATGTATAAGTACACTGGTATCTTTAACACCACCCTAATTTCGCCCCTAGAGATATAATAGTGAAACGCCGTCTTGGGATTACCGTAAATTCCCGAAAGTACGCACCCTTTGTGCTTCTGTGCATGTAGCATGTATGTCTTAAAAACAGTTAGTTCTAGAAAATATCGTTTAAAAATAAATTTAGGCCGTGTACTATATACGTGATTGCATGATAACTGGATACAGTATTGTAGCGGGAAGCGTTTCGTGTTGGGGCTAGTTTCATCGCTGGCCGCAGCCGATTTGCAAGACGTCACCACCGCATCGAAGGGTAAGGCAAGTGCGACGAAACGTACAGCTTTGGATCACGGAGTGTTGGTGATCAAGCAAGCAATGGTCAATAAAGATTTGTGAATATTTCAATAATGGTTTTATCGGTAACAAGGGTTATAATGTTGATGCACAAGTACGTAGCTTTGTTGTTCTTTACTTCTATACGAAATGCGCCGAACACTTTAATAGGGCCCGCCCGGTCGAACCATAGAGAGCAACAATCATCGAGGCGGAGGTCTGGGCGGAGTTAATGAATGAATGAATGAATAAAGACCTTTATTGTACACACATACCCATTGGGTTAAGTACGGGTCACAAAAAGGATGGAATATAGATAACAAATATGTTAATGCTACTGTGGGTGTAGAAGTGCTACCGGATAATCAAAGGAATTATATACACTTCAAATATGTATTAATTTGTACTCCGTAAAACCAAGGACATTATACACACATAATGTCCTTGGTAAAACTGAGTCTGTTCAGAGGAAAGAAATACTTCCTTCTCGGGGCCAAGGTTCTGGAAAGCTGTCCTAAGCGCTGCCACGACCCTCTCTTCGTTCTTCAGCTGTATGTGCACTTTGCAGGGGAAAAAGATCGGCGTGCACAAGACAACGGGCGCAGCATGATTCAAAGTTTATTTTATTTACGCCCTTATTCACGCCGATCAAAAGAAACTGCGACAATTCGGTACGTGCAGGCCCGTGCACGTGGCGACACAGGCTGGCTTCCCGCTCTAGCTGTGGGTTCCCACGATGTGTTGCCAAGGGCAGCGGCACGTACACAGACCTACCGGCGGATCCCACCCACCGGCCGACGGTAAGATTGTCAAAGACTACATTTATAACTCCGCCCCTATCATTGTTGTGTGCCGAACAGTCGAGTACATCTAACTTGCATTTTCACGTCGTACTGACTGGTATAGCCCGCTACAAAGTAATTTCCTGTTGCATTAAACAAGATTTAAAAAGATCTGTGATACGAAATGAAATATTGATAACAATTTATGTTAACTGAACCTTTGTAACGGCATGGAGATAATCTTTGTTGAAGATTTCTGAGTTCAACGCAAGCCGGAAGTGCAATAGAACTGACCATCAGTCGAGGTACAGCTATTATGTTATCACCTGTTACGTTACGACGATCAAGAACGTTCACGGCTTGTGGACCATTTCAAATATTACCACTCATAAACCCTCTTATAATTTCATATGTACTTACGTGGGGTTTAATATTATTTAAATTTTAGGCCGGACTTCCACGAGATCGGCGCCGGCTGGCTGGGGAACGATCCCGTCGGCATGATGGAGCGACGGGCGTCGTCAAAACGATACAAAAATGTTTACAAGCACAACGCAAGGACAGACAGATTTCTACACCAGCGCTCTTTGTGCGATCCCCCAACCCACAGACTCTGGGAAACTCAAATTACTCTCATGATAGACAAGGTGCTCACAGCGAGTATGCAAACATTGGGTCAAAATATAGCCAACATTGGGTTGACTTTATTTGGAAAACACTCGGTTCCGACACCCTTCTGAACAGCCAAATCGTGGGAAGCGATTTCTACCGAAAATGACCGAAGTAAAACATGACGTAATGCTTGCAACAGCATGCGGTTGCTGATTGGTCAAATGTTTGTCAGAGTATTATGGGTTGCCGGTTGCTTGCAGGACCCGGAAGTTCCCAAGGATAGGGACTCAGAACTTTTTTTCCAATCGTCCCGAAACGTAACCAAATCTACTTTCATTTCGACATCGGGACAGTGGTAACGAACACCTAATTTCTTATTTCCTGCGAAACACCTTCGCTCTCACTGCGCTCAGACAGGCAAAGATGCTTATCTAACGTATACTAAGTAGCCTCCTTGGACAGGCGAAAAAGTAGGTCAATGGCTTGAACTTTTCACCCTTTTCACCCGATCTGTCTGCTGTGTCAGGGAACAGTTTTCTCATCTCAATATTACAATTAAAATAGTTAATGACATTATGTATTCACCAATGATGGTCCCAGACTATAGAACGCCCCTTAGCAACAATGTCAAAATGTTGATAGATGTAAGTTCCGACTTTAAAACGACCCAACTGGCGGCTGGAGTTTCAGTACGGGGCTGCGGAACACCAGTTGCTACAACCCTCCGCGGCCCCACAGCTTTGGTTCCCGCAGGAGCGCGCCGGGCACTTCCCACCGGCCGGAGCGCCGGGCACGATCTCCACTGGCCGGCGGCGCAGCACCGAGGAATTTACCGGGGAGCTCCGCTGGTATGGTCACCAGACTAGACAGGGGAAGCCCGCCGCGGCAGCCGGCTTGGTCAGCGTGGATTTGTACTTGGAACAAAATAGGCAAGGTCTAAACTTTTCTAAAATCTAAAGCCTGGATACCGATACCCCCAGCCGTAGAGGTATAGAGGAACCTACGAAGGACAGGTTGAAGAAAGGTATGTTAACATTACTTTTAATGTTACTTCCTAATGTTGTAATGTGCCATAATCGTATCAGTCTAAATTTTGCAATCACAGCCGTGTTTCTGCAGTACCACATGTCTGTTAGTTATTGTACTGTACACTGAGGATCTTTTTGGATCGTAATATCCTCAAACTGGGCGGGCTGAGCACTCATCACTGTATACGTAGAGAAATTATCGGGAAGTTTGCCATTGTCTGGCTACCAGGCTACTAGTATTTTGGCCGACAATCGCCCGTTTGTTTGTACGAGTATTTCATGACAGTTCCTTCACCCAGTCGCTATTTTCTTGTGTACGAGACTAGTATGTACTTTGTGTTCTGTATATGTATGTGTAGTAAACTTTCCTCCATTTCTGCTCGAAATTCTTTGTATCTTTCAAGCAGACTTTTTCGAGATTTCTACAATTTTTTCTATGTTATTCTGGTGTTCTTGGATCTCGCTGTGTTGTCGTCCCCCGGGTATTTCCTTATTATGGATCTGAATGGGTCATCACTATATGTGTGACGCTATTTACGTACAGTTTCCGACAAAGATTCAGACCTATAATGCCAAAGAAGAACAGTTCTACTAACCTTGGAAAAACTGAGCCTCAGAGTAGAGAACTAGAATAAATTTTTCGCCTTCGATGAGGCGCGCCTGTTATAACTCGCAGTGGTTTGGGGAAATTTTGGTGAGTTCGCTTTTACGATAAGAATTACAAATTGTTGTTTACGGATTCGATGCCCGCGCAGAATATCGATCATAGTCAGCGTAACTTGAACGTTTTATTTGTGTGATGTTCGCAAAGTACTTGGTTGTGTCTTCAAAGTTCCGGTGTCAGAATTTGGGTGTTGTTATATCGATACATCATTGTTGATCACTGAGTTGGAGAAAGTTTAAAGTTGCTTGTTATCATGTTGGCTGGTTACAACACGCGTGGAGAGAAGCTGGAATTTTAGTTTACGCATTGAAAATGTGTGCCACATGGTTACCGCATTCTCCCACGGCAGAGCTATCCCGCGGCAAATACGCCTTGGGATTACTGGTAAGGGAGCACCCCTGGCGTGGGAGGATGGGTTACCGCCACATGACGTCAAGTTCCATCGGGATCAAGTTTGTCGGCCCTACTTGATATTCTCCCCTTTCCGACAAAACCTTTCTGTTCAGATTAGTGGCTTAGGGATATTTTGCAGGCCCAACCATACTCTGCTGAAATGCCAGATCTTTCCAGCTGGCCTTTCTAATCATTGTCGTCCTGTAACTGACCCGGTAAAATACCCCTGCATGAAATACCTCTGGGCGGGCGGGCAGTGCTGATAGCGCCACCGTGAGATACCGGAAGCATGCGATGGTCTGGCTGCCAGGCTATGTTAAAGTAATTTAGCATTCTTGGAGTTTATATTCGTCTGTTAGTATAATACCTGATGAATTTATTTTTGGAAATTTGTACTGTGAAGATTCTAACACCCGTTTTCCTGACTTCATTCATCTTGTTCTATGTGTGGTTTGTTCCGTCCATTTTGCTTACAGAATTTGGTCAGTATATCATTACAGATCCGACTGGTCTTTATCAGGTATATCGGCGATCAGTGTTTTAGCAAGGAGGTATTTAACCTCCTTGGTTTTAGTGAATTTTTTGTTAATAGCTGCTCGTTTTTAGCGGCCGGTTTTTTGGTTTATGTAAAGTTTGAGCCACCTGACGCCATGTTCCGCCGGGGTTTTCCGGCCTTACCCCAATTCTCTCCGTCAAGGCTCTTCTGTCCAGTAACCCCGGGCGTTGGATTTTCTTGTCTTTCCAGTAAACCTCAGACATGCAGCGAGGGATACCCTACTGTTCTACACTGGACACCGGTGCCGGCATATATGCCCTGTCTGCGCTAAACTGCCTGCACCTGCCAACGACGCAGGGTTCCGAACAGTGGAGACCATCTCAGTGCACGGAGAAGGTTTCAGTACGTTGTATACTCATCTCTAGGTCAACGTCATTTTTTTTTACTATTCACACAATTACAACTTGATATTGATCCGCGTATTCTTTGCATTACATGTTGCTGACCATGATCCCACCATAATATTGTCCAAGTTTCACATCCGTGGTCACGCTGAACGCTGTCGAACTATGCTGAATAACACAACCCTGGAATGCAACAAACTTCGCTAATAACCTGTTCTACGCTGTTTCTTTCAGCTCTACATGGCGACAAACACAACAGTTACTCAAGAATACAATTAAGAAGTGGAACAAAATACCAGGTGAGTGCCTGACCATCCTTATTTCATGCAGTATTGTACATATAATAATCACGATGGTTAGGCAATGTTCGCATATCTATAGTACTTCTTTCATGAAAATCTGTGTGTTTTGAAACACGGTACCATGTTTACTATGATGTCATTGCTGGGAAAACAATGTAGCCTGGGTGCCAGGCCCCTGTGCCACCATATAGTCAATAAAGTCAGGGAAATCTCACGCCTGGAACACAGAATTTGCAGCCGCGCGGGGTCTAATTTATACGTCTAGATAAACTGAAGAAGGAAGCCAGCTCCGAAACTGTGGCGTGTTGGGCAGTATAGAGGCCCGATCGATAGTCTCAGAAAAAAGCACTTTCTTTATTCCAAGCAAGGAGTTAAGCTCCTTGTTCTAAGTGCTAGGGTCTGGCACACAGGCTATTGCCAGAAAATGTGTTATAGATGTGTCTGCTTCATTGCATTCTGTAAAATTAATCGACTCACATGCTTTGCATATTTACATTTATGACCCCAAATCTTGTTAATTTAAGTTAATCAAAGCTGGCCAAAGTTGGCATAGATTCATTTATGCTCTTTTCTCTCTTTATACCCACAGGTAAACTTCGCCATGTCCACCCTGAGATGCAGACTACAACAGGAATTCACTGGCTAGCATGAAACCTAGTCGTGGAAGGCTTGGGGTGTGCATTCATGTTTTGCAGCCAAGAAAATTGAAAAACAAGCATGGAATGCAACAGCATCATGGAAGCAAAGAAAATAAAAACTAAAAAAGCAAGACTGACACAAACATACATGATAGAAAACACACAAGTGAATAAAATTTCTTACACAAAACATCACTGTTACACTACATGTGTCACACAGTAAAGTTATAAAAAAACGACCAGCATCATATAGTTGAAACTAAAAACATATTTGAAGTATTATAAGCTTGAATATGCTGCTCCTGAGCAAGAAATTTGTTCTCTCTTGATAGAAGAAAACATATTTGAAATATCAATAAAGACAATCATTAACATTCTGTGTGCAAAAAGCCACAGTATGCCTGAAAAGGTGCCATTTGCATGCATGGTAACATAGGCCTTTCCTGCTTTTTCCGATGACCACAAGGCCGGAGGCTACCTCAAAACCAATTCCCTAGGGAATGCATTCGTGCAATTTTTGAAATTCTTTCAAAGCGATCGCAGTACTTACACAAATGCCTCCGCCCCTGAGGCGTCGCCAAAAAAGTCATCACAAATGGTCCTCACGTGAGAACGACGACATCTGGCGGTCAGCGTATGTTCTGCAGCATTCTGCCTGACTGCTATCTGCCCTTGCCAAGAGGGTTACGTTCTATTTTGGTGGGTTGGTTTGTGGATAGCAATATCGCCATATAGATCATCTAGTACTAGTATATAGTGTGGTAGCCCAGTTTCATCAAGTTGGTCACTACACTCAAGAAGGCTGCCACAGTTGTTTCACTTCTGCAATTAAATGCAATGCATTTCTTCTCAGTCATTTTTATCCAATTTTTCTTGCCATCTTGCAATTGACCATCTCCAGAGGGGAACAAACTTTTCGCTTTTTTTTCATAACAGTAAAAAATTAACGCGCGCGTGGATGTCATCCATACGATTTACTTGACGCGGCCTTAGTCACCTTAACCTGCGATGAGTACCACGCTACAGACGTACATAATTGTCCCTGTCCGGTATCCTGGGCGCCGGTGCCCTTCCCAGTATTGTTCTAGTGTGACGTATTAGCACGTACGCTGGTACTGTGACTCATAACAAGCGTATCTTCATTAAAAATCGTCCCATTCAGACAGCGTACGGACTTGGGTAAGTAACGTTACATGCTCTGTTCAAACTTACGTACTGCATATGTCCGAATCATTAACAAACGATCATTCTAAGAAATACAGGTAGAATTAAGCTTGTGTATATGACACTGTTGTTTAGTATCACGCTAAAAGGCGGGGCCATATTCTCCTTACTGATGCATTCAAAAAGCATTATTAGGATACTCGTGCAATGTTTTTACAAAATTCAGGCTTGTTATTAAAAATGTTGCCTTGTCAGTGGTTGGTTCTGTGGCGATATCAAAATCGTAAAACGTCCAACGAGTGTTTATAATAGCTGTTAATGTGAGATTTAGTGGAAAATTGAAGAATAGGTTTTACCTCTGGGGTCTTAGTTAGCTTCCACCAGGCCTTTCTACGGGAATACGGATCGTAGAATTCGGCCAAAAAAGAGAGTACAATTGACCAAGGGAGTCCGGCTGCAGGGAGGTACTTTCTTTCCCTCCGCGCCCAGTCAAACCTACAAGGTGACCAGACTCCCCTGGCAATTATTCTCCTATATATAGCCAGCGTAGTTAGTCTGGTATAGAGACTAGGTCTTGAAGACCACTGACGGAAAATTCAATATGGCGATCATTTTAACCTTGGGGAAACATGCCATTCTCACGTAAGACTGAGTATGTCTTACAAATAATCTTAAGACATTTTGATTGTGAACGTTTAGTTGGGGAAATGTTTTGATATCTGTTTTTGTTGAACGTCGGTCGTGGGAACAGTGTAATTTATGTGCGAGGCCTAGTCGCCATTGTTCAGGAGCCGATGAACCGGTTTGGATCATATGTTACTATGCAGCAGAGATAATTGTTGTTGACTGACCTCGGATGACCTTGCTGTCGCTAGCGACTGTGGATCAACATGGTGGCAAGCTGGCCTTGTACTCAGGGTTGTTTTGGGGAACCTAAAGGCTCCGCATGGTTTCTAATCAATAGCAGGCCCTAAAATATAATGTGCTCTATCTAAGGAAGAGCACAGTCGACTCTTAAGAAGAGCTAAACCTTAAGCACGATAAACTACCACACTAGTACTTCTCGATAATTTTTAATTAGGAGGTCATACAGTCAGTACACATAGTACAGGTGGATCGAACCTTACCGTACGGTGTTAGGCTGCTTGTGTTAATTTACTGTACAAAACTTCTGTGCTGCGCTAAGTTTATTGCAAATACATGGCTGGAGGCTAATTGCAAGTACAAACAAAATGTATAAAAGAAGAAAACACAATGATATAAGAGTCTACGCCCAACGTAAAGCTACATTCTACAACATACGTAGTACTACAGTAGTTTTGTTGGGTTTGGCTTTTTAACGGATGAGTGGCTTTCATGATTAGAAATGTGCCCTCTTCGTATTCTGATTCAAAACGGTGATCAAATTCTTTTTTCTTTCTTCCAGAATTTTGTTGACGACAATTTCAAAGGACTTTCAACATTCCTCTTTATCTAGTAGTACTAGTACGTAATATAATATAACGACATGATAGCTAAATGGATCGACGCTGCCTCGGGACGGGTGTTCTACAACTTGGGTAAGGTAGTCGCCAGGTGGCCGGCTCCTTTCGTCCTCCTGCCGCTGGTCGCGTCGGGACTTCTCGGTTACTTCGGGCTGAGCAGGATCGTCATCAACGACGCTTACATCTTCGTCCCGGACGACGGGCAGGCGCTACCGGACGGCGAGGCGCTGGGAGAGGCCGGCTTCTCTCCTTCAGGCGACGCGGTGGCGGAGCTCATCGTCCAGGCGAAAGACGGCGGCGACGTCCTCTTCAGAGACGGCGTGGTGGAAGAGGTTTTACGGCTCCATGGTGAGCTGACAACCACGAACACAACGTCAAGAGACACGTTCTCTTCTCTCTGTTTCCGCGACCCGGCTACTACAGAATGTGTTCTGAGTGGAGTTCTGCAGCTCATGTTAACAACCCGCTCAGGCTCTGCTCTTCGAGCGACAACAAACTTGACCTACCCCTACCACAACCCCAACAGAGTAGCCTTCAATCTCGGCAGGTATTTTGGACGTGAACTTGGTGGAGTAGAAATCAGTGAGGTCAACAACAGAACCGTTTTGTCTAGCAAAGCTCTTCATCTAGTCTACAACGTGCAGAAAAATCTAGGCCAATGGATTGACACATTTCGTCGGATTTGCTCGGAATTTCAGTCGGAAATTATCACCGTAAACTACATCACTGTAACTTCGGTGGACGACGAAGTTTCGACTATACCGGCGAGAGTGGCTGTGTACATAGGAGTGGCGGTAGGACTGTTGATTCTGTTCGCTGTCGTGTCGTGTATGATGTTGGACTGGGTCCTGACCAAACCGTGGTTGGCTGTGGTCGGCGTGTTGTCGGCGGTCCTCGCGATCGTGTCCTCTACTGGATCGGTGCTTCTGGCGGGAGAGACATTCTCTTCGCTAACTACAGCCATACCTTTTCTTCTCTTAGGTACGAATATAACATTTATATATGCTGTTTAAAGGCATCTGGTGCAACTTCAGGGAGGCAAAACTCGATTTTAAAAGTTTAAAGTCATTCTTTTAATGTAGTAATTTGAATCAACCCCATCCCATAGCATGCTAATATGATACACAGTTAGGCAAAAATGTGCTGTCAACTTTTATCACGAAGCAGTGATTATTGGCGACGCCTGAGGGGTGGAGACATTCCGAATAGTATTTTCTATCATGTCCTTGCAGACATAGATATCGTAATGCTTGTATTTCTAAGATTACTAATGCTTCTGGTCAATGCCATGTACTAAGCTTAAGTGCATTAGACTAAGTGTTCTTGTCGTGTAGGAATCGGAGTGGACGACATGTTCGTCATGATCGCCGCCTGGCGGAAGTGTGACGTAAGACTTCCGGTGCAGGAGCGGATGGGCCACACCATGTCAGACGCGGGGGTGTCCATCACCATCACGTCCATCACGGACTGCCTCGCCTTCGCCGCCGGCATTATGAACGTCTTTCCCTCCGTCCGGCTCTTCTGTATCTACGCTGCCGTGGGCGTCGCCTTTGATTTCCTTTATCAGGTACGAGAAAAAGACAGAAACAGAGCGAGAGACAATGAGAGAGAGACAGAGGGAGAGAGAGAGAGAGAGAGAGGGAGACAGAGAGAGAAGCAGAGAGATGGAGAGACAGAGGGAGAGAGAGGTGGAGAGAGACAGAGAGTTAGAGAGAGAAAAGGAGAGAGAGAGGGGTGAAGTGGCCTGCTATAGCTATAGAATATGGGTATCAGAATGCATACGTGTTTTAGCACTACGTACGATTTTATCATGTAGACATGAATTTTCTTTTCGCTTACAGATCACATTCTTCGCTGCCTTCATGTCCCTGACTGGACGCCGAGAGCGGGCCAATCGTCACTGCCTCACCTGCTGCCCCGTCCTGCCCAAATCACAGGCACAGCACAAAAGCGCCGCCTACCGACTCTGCTGTGCATCAGGCGTGTCAAAGCAGGAAGGCGCGTTTGACAACCCCTCTTCTGAAAAGTTCAACAAGGATCCGTTGTTAAACAGGTTATTGTACAATAACCTCGTTCCTCTCATTTTGAAACCCTCAACAAAAGTGGTAGTATTTCTCTTGTACGTTGCTTACCTGGGAGTAGCGATTTGGGGCTGCCTACAAGTCGGTATGGGCCTCCATTACCAAAACGTTGTAACGGACGACTCGCATGTAGGGGGATATTACGACGCAGAGGAGGCATATTTTCAAAAATACGGCCGCAAAGTTGACATCTTCATAACCGAACCCCAGGAGTATTGGACAGTAGACGTGCAACAGGCTCTCCTGGATAAACTAAAATCTTTCGACCAGAGCCAGTATTTCTACGACACATCGGAGACCGCAGAGGTCTGGTTGCGAGACTATCTCCGTTTTCTGAACCAGACTGGCAACTCTCGTGCCGCCACAGACAAAACGCCATTTTTGCAAATTCTGATTGGCCAGTTTCTGCCGACTGTTGGGCGCCAGTATTACGGGTCCGTGATACTTGCGGCCAACAACACTGGTATAACCGTGTCCCGGTTCTTTGTTATACCGAAGGATGTCACTACAAGCGAGCGGGGGAGGCAGATGATGACAGAAGCTCGCAGTATCGCTGAGCGTGACCCTCTTAGGATGAGGGCCTATAGTTTTGACTTCTTCCTCTCCGACCAGGTAGTCACGATTCTCCCAAGCACGCTACAGACGATAGGCGTTGCCGTAGCGATCATGTTCGTGGTGTGCTTCCTGTTGATACCGCACTGTGGCGCTACTTTCCTCATCACCTTTGCGCTGCTGTCCATCAACGCGGGCCTTGTGGGGTTCATGGCGTTATGGGGGATAAACCTGGACATTGTGTCTGTCTTATCCATCCTCATGTGCATCGGCTTCTCTGTAGATTTCTTCGCACACATAACCTACGCCTACGTTTCTTCAGAGTATACAATACCGGAAGAAAAACTCACAGAAGCTATGCGTGCCGTCGGCATGCCGATTGTACAATCCTCTCTCTCTACTATCCTAGCACTGGCGGTTCTAGCGTTTTTTCCGGCATATATTTTAAAAGCATTTTTCAAGACCATCTTTCTGGTCATGGTCTTCGGTGCGTTTCACGGACTGGTCATCCTACCCATTCTGCTGACCAGCCTGCGGCCATGTGGTCAAGGAAAAGTTCAAGACGAGACGAGAACTCTTCAAGGAAGTAGTAAGATTACCCCGGTGTCGAACGGAGACTTGCCCAGACCCTTCTACCCTAGTCCTCACTTGGTACGTCCGTATACGTCGGAGAGTACACCGGTACACGAGATTGGCGTTTTGAAACCAACGACGTCTTTACCCAATATACGTGCTAACGTCGGACAAGATAACCCGTATCTTACACCGGAGATGCGCAGATGGATCAAATGGGTGGGAAGACGACAGACGGGTGTGGATAACCCGGTTATGGCGTCAGATAACCCATAGATATAAGACTGAACTAACGATTCAAGTTTTCTATTGCTGTAAATTTTAAGACAAAAGTTGTGACTGATTTGATATACTTAAAGTTATCGTTCAAATAAACGCGAACCTAAAGTCTATATTATTGCCAATCGCCTACACATATGTATTGACTACAAAATGTATGTTGTTGACTTTACCCTAACTCATTTTGATACTGTTTATATGTATATTTTCTGTTAAATGCAAATGTGTCTTGATATGATTATTGATGCTTGAAGTTTATGTATATAGTAATTAATATTATTGTAAATTCAGAGTCTGTCTTCATTACTTATTTCATTGTTCAATGACAATGCATTTTTTATCAAACTAAACCTAATTGTAGTACTTGGTGGAGGTGTGAAATAAGTTCTGATTTGAAATTAAAACATTCGACTTTTTGTTTGATGACTGGTTTATTTTAATACAATCAACAATCTTTGGTAACTTAAAGCAAAGAAACACACACACACACACACGCACGCACACACACACACACGCACGCACACACGCACACACGCGCACACACTCTCTCTATCTATCTATCTTTCAATTTGGTGAAGCTCTAGGCATAATGTTTGCGGCAGCAGAAGTTTGAGACTTAAAACTTCTTAATGTGAAAGCTCGTGTTAGCTGCATCGTTTTAATTTACACATTCTAGGATATATACCATGTATACCATACCCACTATGCAAACTATATACAGTCTGGCTTCCTGAGTTGTACAAGCAAGTTGGTCAACTATTTTTTTTTACAATAAAATTATTTGTTTCCTTCATGTCTTTGAATTTCTCAACTTTTCGCCGCGATATATGTACACTTCCCTTATCGGGTCCTCATAAACGCAGCTCAGGTAGAAATCCTGTTTCAGTGTGTCTAAAAAGTCCTCGTCTGCCGAAAACCGGATCCTTCCAGCGAGGTAAAGAACTGTTTCCGCTCCTGCAAGATGCATGATGGTCTTGTGTAGGTCCGGGAAGGTCTCCTCCTTGTAGATGATGTCGGAGCCCATGATGTAGTCGTACTGTTGTACGCCGAAGTCCTCCAGGTCGGCCGTGCCCCACTCCAGGCGGCGCACCACCGGCGCGTGCTTGGCTCGCAGCTCGGTGTTCCTCGGCACGTTTCCCCAGGCGCAGGGGAGGGTCTCCCCGCAGTCTGTGGTCGTCACTTTCGCACCTGTTTGTACCAAGAAGAGTTACGCTATAATTTTCACTGTGCTAAAAGTGGGATTTGTCAAAGATGATAAATGTCATACTCCACGCACGTTAAAGAACCCACCACACCTTTCGAAAAAGGCATGCCCCAGTGTGCGATGGTCTAAATACTAAGTACTCCGGCTGGATTCACTCAAAATCACCTTGTAGGCCTGGAATTTGAAGCCTTTAATGTTGGATGATAGATGATATCATAGATAGCTCTTGTACTTGGGAAGAAGTTACGCAAGTTTGAGCCCCCGTCCCCTAGCAGCTTGTATATGCATAGCAGCTTGAGAATATATGGTACTATAATTCATGCAAATTAGGATCTTATTTGCGTAATCAATGAAAAACATTTATCAACCACAAATGTCATCCTTGGCAATTTAGGCACGAGGTCTTATTGAGGGCTTATTGAATGTTAACATTTGATAGAAAATACATGTACTTACCCAGTAGACTCGCCACTATGCTGACCAGCCCAGTCCCTGCCCCTAACTCCAGCACAGACTTGTCCGCCAGCTCCAGCTCTGTTTGCTCCATGAATCGGGACAGGATGATCGACTGAAAGGAGGAATGAATGAATACATACTATCTACAAAGAAGGAAACTGAAGTTTCTCTGAACCAATCACTGCCAGAAGTGTGGGATGAATTTCTAGAGGTAGAAAAGAAAGGACTGAAGAAAGAAGGAGAGAAGTATGAAACGTAGGGGCTTGTTCTTGCAGGGCAACTGTGAAAGTGCATCGATGGGGTGAATGTGGTTATGCTGGGAGGGGATGCTTCAGGTCTGGGCATAGTAAAGGCTGGAGTTTTGCAGCAGACGGCCAGAGGTCGCCTCTGCTCAGCAATGGTTAACATGATGGATAACGTACTAAACATAGTTTTCTCGGAATCGTTTTGACAACTGAAAAATAATCTCCAATCCAAAAAAATGCCGTCGATGAGGGTTACCTTCCATAGGCTTTTAGTGTTCTTGACTCTTGATGTGTCAGCGATAGGTGGGAGATTTTATGTAGGCAAGACCTGTGCAAAGAGAAAGGATAGAAATGCGATTTTAGCATTTGAATCTGTGGGATTCAAATGGGATAGAATTAAGTCCATTTTGTCAGCTGTAATCTGATGTGACCGCTGGGCGGCGCTAGTAAACGCCAACAAGTTGCAATTGTTCTCTTGGCCAAAGGCCCGAAGGCTTACAGGACTTTATAGTGTAAGTACGTCTCAAATATCGTGCTGACAACTCTATACATTACAGAATGCGCTAGGAGAAGCTTTCTAGAATTATAAATGGCCGTGCGTAACGTTATATCTGTTGAGTTTTGCCAGTGTTTTGTTTCAATGCAGCGGAGTCATATACCATCACGCGATTGAAACGTACTTGGTAGTTATGTGAGTTATGTAATAGCCAACAGCTAACACGACAAGTCAAGTGAAACATGAGAACTCATGCCAAGGGCTCTCTGCGCTATAAAACCGCTATACGGGGACATTATTAGTCCCTTAGGGCCCGATCACGTCTTAAGAGCGTCGTACGATCTCGGGGTAGTCGTGTATTTGTCTTGCAAAATTCGGATGTCTTGTTACATGTTACATTGGCCAGAAGAGTGTACCGGTGGCCAATGGATACTGCCTTGCCATCGTATGATCTGCTTGGAGATTAGTTACATGGATAATTTTTAACGCAAGCGGCCCAATTTTCAAGCAGATGTAAGGATCTGACTTAGTCTCAGTGCTTTACCCGTGTTTTTGCAACATTTAATTTATGTTTCTTCTCTCATTTCAACATTAGCAATTGAAATTAACATATTTGAATTTTATTTACTACAATTACAAAGTAAAAATCACCTGTCAGTGACTCAGCTGGAATTTACTATCATTGGTAAATCCAACAATTCGTGCGCATGAGACCGATACGCATCCTTACATCTGCTTGGAGATTCCGGCCGAACCTTACCGAGTCCCAGATCGTGGCTCCGACTCCGCAGTCCGCCAGCTGCTCGTGAATGGTGACGTCATGGCCACAGAAGTTGAACGTCGGTCCAGACATCTCGCTTTTTAACTGTGGAAGAGACAAAAGTCGTGATTTTTGGTAGCCTTTTAATGAACGAACAGACGGACGGACGGACGGATGGACAGA